ACAGGTATCCACAGAGATACTAATGTACCTGTATCTTCTGTATAGAGACAAAAATGGACTTCAGGCCCCCTGGTGTCCTCAGAGAAAGAAATTGACTCCAGGTGTCCATGTAGAGACACTAATGGACTCCTGGTGGCCTCTGAGAGACAATAATGGATCTAGAGAGTCCTCGTGGAGACAAAAAGTTGTCCACATAAAGACAGAAATGGACTCCAGATGTGCATGTAGAGACACTACTGACTCCCTGGTATCCTTGCAGAGAAAAAAATGGATTCCCCAGTCAGAATTATTTTCTTGACTGATGATTCAGCCCCCAGTCTGTTTCTGCAATAAAGACATCGGAAGACCCTTTAAACTAGTTTTCACTCGGGAGTTTATATCATCTTTGGCAGCAAAACATGTTACACGTAATAGGAGCCATCAGAAACTCCAGCAGATTAAAGTAACTCACTAGCAACTAACTGCAACAACCCATAATGCAACATTCTTTGTAGAAGCTGGTATTCTTATACTCTGATATTGGGAATACATACAAGTATAGTCTTCAAATATAATACTTAATTTTAAGACATATATTTATATTTGGGCCAATACAGTATTAAGTTAAATCTAATCCTTATTAGAATCAAGGTCTTCGATCGATCCAACACACAGTACGTATGTAATCAATCATGTTGCATCATATAAGACTGCAGCAGATCAGTTTAGTAAGAAGAGAAAATTTAATATGTGTACCCCCCCTTTCTCTCTCCCTCCACATAATTACCATGCGTAGTCTCTCGCCCGTGTCTGCAGCATTCCCTCGTTTCTGATCTGCTTTAATTACCACCGGAATTTTAATTGGCGGGAGACAGCAAGGTGGCCGAGGTCACACACACACACACACACACACACACATACATATACACACACACACATACATACACACACACACACACACACACACACACACACACACACACACAATACATATACACACACACAGTTTAAGGTAAAAGATAGAGGGATCATTTGAGGAGAAGTATGTGTGTATGTGTGTTATCTGGGAGAATACGCTGCAGTGTTATATGGGGAATGACATTCATTTAATCACAGTTTCTCTTCTCTCTGCTTTTATCAATTTTAAATTCAAATTCAAGTATATATATATAGTTTCTGTATTATTTATGACACTGTCATTTAAGTTTAGCAGTAGCCATAGGTAAAGCTGGGAGCTTTTGTTTGTCTCACTAATGTTTAAATTAATTTTAAAAATCAGAAGAGTGACACTTGTCAATCTTGTCTATCCTGTGATGTTCCCCTTAGGTCCTCTAATTAATATATACTATACTAATTATATATATATATATATATATATATATACAAACTAGTGTAGTGTTGCACGTCGAGTATATAGCAGGATAATGTTTTGACTTCTACAGGCTTCCATCACCTCAGCGTTCATCCATACAGTCGTGATCCAAAAATAACATATGACCAAGCTAGCTAGATGATTGTTGGCACACTTGGCTACGTTCTGGCATTGTAGGATCAAATGTGAGCCAGCTCTGGCCCATATGTGTTTACCAGTTGTAGCTCGGTTTTCAGACTTATTTGACCTGAGAATCGGCTCCAGTTATCAGCAGAAGTGGAAGCTTTAGGCTGGTGAAGGTGAAGATAAAATTTCTCAAAAGATCAAATAGTAAATAAGAGAAAAAAGACAGCAACTGATCATGTAATTGTTTTCAGCCTACTTAGGTAACATTGTTTGGAAATACAGGATCTGTTTCTGCAAATATGCTGATGATACTCAAGTATATGTTGCATTATAAGTCTTGCAATTTTAGCGTGTGTATTGGATGTATGTGACTGGAGGTGTTGGACATTGTACATTATCATACAGCTAAATGATTCAAAATCTGATACCTTTATATTAGCTCTCAAAATTAGGACAACCACCAAGAACCAGGTCAATATCCAGCATGTCATTCATTTTAACTTTCCTCTTATTGTGAGGTCGCTGACCCTGACTGCAAAAACACTTCCTAAAGTTATATATTTTTTGTACTTTGCTGAGTCTAAAGGCCCAAACGCACTGAGAGCATCTGACGAACGCAGTCAGACACTTTCAGTGCGTTTGAGCCTTTAGAAGACATGCCACGCTTTCTTATCATCATGGCTTGACTTCTGTAATTTTAAGTATTTAGGGATCAGTCAAAACATTATAGCTAAAAGCTCTTAGCTGGCTTAGCTAGCTTAGTTGTTAGATTTAGGATTAAATTGACTGGATTGTTGGTCTGTCACTTGGTTGCTCAGTTGTTCCATCACTTCAGTCCAGGACTGAAATATCAACATGATAGCATTGTCATTGTTGATGTTAGCATCTAGCCAAAAGCACCACTGTACTAAGTACTGCCTCACAGTCTGTTTATCTTTTTTCTTTTAACTTTTTTGTGCTCCCTGTTGCCCATCAAGTGTATTGTTATTGTTATTAAAACAGATAACAATGATTTAAGTGAGGTATATTTTGTGGTATTTGCTTTTGTGGTAGTTGCTGCATCTACGTCTAACCCAAACTGGGACTTGGACCTTCTGGCTCCAGTAAATGTGAAAATGTAAAAGAACTAGTGGCACTTTGCCGACTTCAGTATAGTTCAGTTTATCTATGTCTTGATAGTTCATATGAAGTAGGGTTGAGTGAGTACTGAAATGAGTTTCCAGTGCAGATAACTGCACTGCACTGATACTTTTTATTTGTAGTAGTAGTAGTATAGTATGAGCACCAAACGAGTCAAATATCTCCATTTTTAAAAATGTTCTTTAAAAAATCTTGGTCTCTTACTATTATGATCAAAATCATTGTACTGAAGCTCAATTCTGAAGCTGGGCTGTAAATAGTTTTCAAATAATATAGCAACTTCTGATCAGCCCATATCAATTTCAGGCTTAAATTAACAACATTCGGTTAGTCCCACCCACGTCCAGTTTGAGCCACGCCCACTCCAAGTATCGAATACAGATAATTTATTTGGCTGAAAAGGCAGATAATGATGTACATGCTCATCCGTAGTATGAAGGCAGTTCAGTTGCAGGATAGTTGTGACTTAAAGAAAGAAAAAGGAGGTCATTGTTAAATGGTTTAATTTTTTATTTTTTTTGCAGGTTCGTGAGACAAACACTCAGCGGTTTTAGTCAGAAAAGCAGCGTCACCTCCTTCAACTCACCCTCCAAACACAAAATAATCTCTTTCATATGGAAATGCACTAATTGATTTCCTAAAATCCACATTAAAGCCGTGTATAATTGTGCTTGCTGTTTTGGAGCAATTAAAGCAGAATTTTCCCAACAGTTAATGACTATAATGGGATTTGCGTAATTGAGGCCCCGGTTGAATAAGCTTTGGTTTTTTTTAGAAGCTGATTCTCCTCCTTAGTGAAGGCGAGTGGAAATCCACTGCAGTGTCTTAACACAATGACCACAGCAGAGGGAGTCATAGCGCTTTCACCTTTGACCTTTACACACCAATCCATTCATTCTGATGACCCTCCTGATTCTAACAGTATGACTCTGGCCTTTTCTGACACATTTTTAATTTTTTTCTAGAAGACATCTCTCAACACTACAGAATGACATTAAAATTATTTATTTTTGTGACAAATAAAGCCCCGCTCTCTGTGTAGCAAAAACACAAATTAAAGTCCCATGTATATTTAAAGCCTCAAAGTCAAGTCAAGTAAAATCTGTAGAAAGCTGTAGCTGTAATTGTGAACATTGGAATTATGAACACAGTCTGTTAAGATCACCAAATATTTTTTATATCACATATTCAGCAAGTGTTTTGTAAAACGTGTTGTTTAGATTTTAAAACAGTTGTCGTTTCTCTACAAAGAATGTACTTCTTTAAGATTCTCTGACTGCAACAATATGCATACAAGGCAAAATTTTGCTTTGCTCAGATGCTGCATTTATTTAATTCTCTCCCTGGTCAATCACAGGGGAACTGTTTCAGCCAATTACAACAAGTGTTGGTTCTAACATAATAAAAAAACTGGAAAAGCTGGTGATTGTGAAGAGCCGTTTGACAGTGGATCAGGGCTGATCTACTCACTGTCCACCAGCAAAAGGAATGGCTTAAATCAGAGTGGCTTTACTCAAATCTGGGCTTGCATACCCAAAATGTATGTGTCACCATCACACTTTGAATATCTGATCCCTTCATTGTGCAAGATGTAATTATTATTTTTTGGGGGCATTTTTTGCCGTGGCAGTCAGGAAACGGGGAGAGAGAGGGGTATCACACGATACAAAGATTGTTGGCTGGAACTGGCAGCAAATGTTTCTCATTCGTGTCATTTAAGGGAAAAAGGTCCTTCAGAGTACTGGCTAGAGATTGCCAACATTTTTAATGTTAAATAATTAACATGAAATTGTTGTGATTACCTCCCGTTGCTGCAACTGAACAAGGGGGATTATTACTACTTGGACTCATATTTTGAGAGCTTTCTGTGAAGTTTTCAAACGTCACATTGGCAGTATTGTAAGTTAAACAACTGTCAGTGCATGCCTGCATCACTTTCCTTGAACCCAAAACACTGAAGTAATTTACATACGAACTAGTGTAGTGTTGCACGTAGAGTATGTAGCAGGATAATGTTTTGACTTCTACAGGCTTCCATCACCTCAGCGTTCATCCATACAGTTGTGATCTTTTGTCTATCAACCACTTAACAGTTCTGAAGGGTCAAAAATAACATATGACCAAGCTAGCTAGATGAGTGTTGGCACACTTGGCTACATTCTGGCATTGTAGGATCAAATGTGAGCCAGCTCTGGCCCATATGTGTTTGCCAGTTTTAGCTCGGTTTTCAGACTTATTTGACCTGAGAATCGGCTCCAGTTATCAGCAGAAGTGGAAGCTTTAGGCCAGTGAAGGTGAAGATAAAATTGCTCAAAAGATCAAATAGTAAATAAGAGAACAAAGATGGCAACTGATCATGTATGTGCCCTCTGTCTTGCTTCAGTGTCTACGGCTGCCCGCTGGCCAAGAAGAGGAAGGCTCTGGAAAAACAGCCACTGGAGCCTGCTGCCAAGAGGAGGCCCTTCCTCACCTCCTGCCCCGGGGAGGAGGAGGACGCCAGCGCCTACACCAGCTACGAGAATGAAGCCATTGAGGTGGGGGTGGAAGGGAAGGAGCAGGGGGAAGTAGTGGAGGAGGATGAGGAGGAAGAGGAAGGGGAGAGAGAAGGAGATGAAGACGGTGACGTGGAGGACGAGTTCTCGGAGGACAACGAGGAGCAGGGAGAGGAGGAGGAGGAAGAAGATGAAGAAGAGGAGGAGGTAGAGGTGGAGAGAGCGGACACAACAATGGAAGGAGAGCGGGCGGAGGAGGAGGAAGGGATGTATGAGGAGGAAGAAGAAGTGGAGGACGGTGATGATGAGGAGGAGCAGGAGGATGAGGGAGAGGAAGACGAGCAAGAGGAGGAGGAGGAAGAGGAAGAGCAGAATCGTCAGCATGGTGAGTTTGCTGATTCTCTTAATGTTTTCCATATTAGTCCCTTCCAAGATGACCCCAATGATAGTTGCAAGTTAAAACTTACATACACTTAGACCAGTCTTTTAAACCATGGTACCCTTTCATATCATATCATATCATTAACATCTTCACATGCACAAAAGTGGCTGTTGTCTTCGATTTCTTGTATAGATGACCAATAGCAGTCTGCACTAACCTATGTGACAAATAAATGGCTTTTCCTGTGACTGCTTCAGAATGAAAAAGCCCCCCCCCCTGCGTTTCCCCCCAGTTAAATGCTAAGATATAAAAAAAGTAATGCTGGATTTCATGGTTGCCTCATTTCCTGTGAATCCTTTGAGTGTAGGTAGGCAATTTCAATTCAGCATGGGAATGGCGGACTCCGCCACTAACAATAGTAAGACTAGGTTGAAACCTAGTCCAGGGGCTGGACCATAATTTGCTCATGAGGAGGTGATTGAGGACTACCCGCGCCTCGCTGTAAAAGCCTCCTGAGGACATAATTGAGGACTGTTGAGGATATTCATTTTGAGAGAGCAACCCCCAATGGAGAACTCCCACACTCTACCATCCATTGGTGTACGGACTTTTGTCCAGCCAAGAGGTAATTACAGGATATAAATTAATTTAATGGCTGAAAAAGACCATGAATGGTATCAAAAATTTAATTTTAATTTCAAAAGTCATTTTATGTATATATATTTATATAAATCTTACTCTAACTTTAGTTTAACTTGAACTTATTTCGTCAATTTAGACATTTTTGAAAACATAACTAAATTTAAATGTCAGTGTTTCCTTGTCGGTTGGAGGAAACATTACTAAAAATCTACATTATAATAGCTGCACTTCCCTTTTGGAACCACTGATTAGCCAATAAATCCTACTTGGGTGGCAGTGACAGTGTCTAGGGATTTGGCTTGGGAACCGGAGGGTCGCCGATTCAAGTCACACAGACCACAATATGGAGTGTGCACTGGTAGCTGGAGAGTTTTACCTCCTGTGCACTGCCGAGGTCCCCTTGAGCAAAGCAACCTAACCCCAAGAAACTGCTCATGGGGCGCTGCTAACGTGGCAGCCCCATCACTCCACCATCTCTCTCCCTGTTGCATGTGCAAGTGCATGAAGTGTGTATTTCAGCCTGTGTGAACAGTTTCCCCCTAGGGGATTAATAAAGTATAATCTTCTTCTTCTTAGGGAAAGATTGTGGTCTTGGTTAAAAACTACAGTTGACTGTTGGTAGGAGAGGTTATATATTCATAGAAATATATAATAAGTATGTACATTTGTGCCAAAGGTCTGGTGGCACATTGGTGCAGTGGTTTACACTGTCTCCTCACAGGAAAAAGGTTCCACGTGCTGCAGTTTCCTCCCACAGTCCAAAGACATTCAGGTTAACTGGCCATTCTAAATTGCCCATAGTATGAGTGAATAGTTGTTTGTATGTGTCAGCACTGTGACAGACTGGAGACCTATTCAGGATGTCGACATCCAGTTAGTCTTTGCCATTCATGGGTTCACCATGTTGACTAGGAAAGGCTCCAACAACAAATTTCAGGATAACCATATATAACGTTTGACATGTGAACCATAACCACAGACAGTTGTGAAATACCATCACAAAGAGGTTTTAAAAGGTCTGGAATGGAACATTGGCTGTGAGACATAATCAGTTATCTGTACTACATTATTAAGTTAAAATACGATGAATCATCAGGCTTGTTCCGAATCTGCCATTTCACTATAAGGAAGAAAATTTAAACAATGACTTGTCAAAATGTGTTATTATTTTGGGGACTGACATTGAAAAGACCTACAAGTGACCTCATGTGGCCCTGTGAATAATTGTATTCTTACGATAAAAGGTCATAGGTCAAGTGTCTGACCAAATGATGTTTCAGTGTGTGTGCTAGAGGCCAAACATCCCAAGAGAATGAGTCCCATCATGTTTGAACAGAGTCAACATGGAAAGTAGACATAATGTATGCATGAAAGCCAAAAAGTGATTACTTTAACAGATACTTGAACCCAGCAATGTTGTGGGTCAAACTGGTGTCCAGACTTGGTTTGCATTGCATTTTGGGTCTGCAGTGAGAGAGGAGAAAGTGATGAGAGCTGCTGAGCCGAATCTCTGGTAGACCAGATGCTCTGCACTCTCCCGCCCGCCACGTTTCCCTCGATTCCCCCCCAACACCCCCCGTGTCCTCAATCGCTTCTGACAGCGCTTCACGAATAATCGGGAGAGGAGCTCTGCTGAGTTATTAACTCCCACCCTCCCCTTCCCTCCCCGTTCGCCTCCTCGTCTCGGCGGACGTGTCACATGCGCTCTGCCTCGGCTTCTCCTCCTGAGAATATTTATGGCTCCCGAATCGGAGCACCTCACACGCCTCCCTTTTCAATTTCTCTGCTCTCATTCGCCGTCTCTGTCCCCAAAATCAACAGTGAGGCTTAGCGGTGAGAGCAGTGCTGCTCTGCACAGCTCTGGGTTGTATGTTTTTTGTGAGTAAACAGTGGATCATAATTGGGAGGGATCCAGTTAATTTATTCAGAAATATATGAGAAGAATCTTGGTTCATCAGTATTGCTATTGAGTTTATTAGAGGCTGCATGAGATTAATTTCCTTTTCATCTGCTGGATTTTTATTCTATAAATGAGGAGATAGTTATATTATCTACAAAATGAATCCATTTCCTCTTTTATTTTTGACCAATTGCCTACTGTTTATGTTGTTTATACTGCAAAATACTGAGCGGAACTATGCTAAGTGGTATAAACTTGTTGTGATGTGAAATGGGTTTTCTATTTAGATGTCCGAACACTATAAATCCTAAAAGTTTTTCTTCTTTCCTGACAGTAGAGAACCACTACAAACCCAGTGGACAATCAAAGCTCATTCCAATTCTGAAGGACGACAACAACAACAACAGCTGCACCATCAGTGCTGGTAACGGCACCGGAGAGGAGTACGAGAACTACGACGAGCTGGTCGCTAAGTCGCTGCTCAACCTGGGCAAGATTGCTGAAGACGCTGCCTACCAGGCCATGACCGAGTCTGAGATGAACAGCAACTCTTCCAACAGCGCTGGGGAAGATGAAGATGACGAGGAAGATGACGGCAGCGATCAGGGCGACCGGAAGGGCGAACTGAGCGTGGACCTGGACAGTGATGTAGTCAGAGAGACGGTGGATTCCTTGAAGCTCCTGGCGCAGGGCCACGGCGCCATGCTGCCTGAGGACGGCTACCCAGAGGGTGCCATGGGGGATGATTGCTGCCATTCTAACGGGCGGCCCGGCATAGGGGTTAGGGTTCAGGCGGATGAGAGCGAGGAGGAGGTGTGCCTCAGCAGTCTGGAGTGTCTGAGGAACCAATGCTTCGACCTGGCTCGGAAACTGAGCGAGACACAGACGTCTGATCGCCCCGCCCTCCACGCCCTGCACCACCTCCCAACAGACCAGCAGATGGTGCATCACCTGAACAGGTACATAAGCTTTAAAGAGGTTCATTGTTCATTCCCACGTTCATATTCTAATGTCCCACATTAGCACCATTACCATTGCACTTTCTGCTGTTATTTGAAGGGAAATCTGGGCTGTCACAAAACAGTTAGAGGGCGCTGTTCCTCCAGAGCAAGGGAAAGATACTTCAGTATCAAAGTAATAGCTAATTCGGCTACTTTTAATGGTACCAATTTGCCAAAATGTAAACAAAAATCCAGCTAATCTGCTAGCAACATTATACTTCCTGTTTATTTAATTTAATTAATATACTACTGATGATGATGATAGTAAAATATATATCTAAAAATGTTGGTTTTAAAGTTGATTTCATTTCCCCCTAGGTAATGGCTAAAAAGCAGAATTACAGTAGCTTATGTTAATACTTATTTGGCAAATTACTCATATATGTAAATGTATGTTCTGTGTTGCACAACAAGTCTTGAGATGTAAGTGACAGGTTATCCGCACTCGATAAACAGGCGCCGGCTTCATTCATGCTTGATGGCAGTGCTGTTGTTTTCGTTGCCTTTGAAAAAATGTCATCAACATGCCATTTCTGTTCGAGTGCCATCTGTTTGTGTTTGCAAGACACACATTTGTTATGGTCAAATACTGTAGGCTAAAGCTGTGGAATTTGTTTGAATTCGAGGGCTACTTGTGTCAGTAGATTGTAATATTTAAAAATGTCCTTCATCGTGTCAGGTTCATGTGAGAACTATTATTTGCTCAAATGGGCTATAATGAGATGTTACAAGGTCTTATTTTGGATTTATGCAAGTCTTTCGTTTCCATAGTTACCAATAGTAGATTAATGAAAAATCTTGAAAAAGTTTTGATGTAAATTATGAAAATTAAAACTTTTTCTGGCTCCACTATGATTTAAAGAAACAAAAGGAGGGTTAGATAATGAGCCATTGTATGTCATAAAGAGTTATTTCAGTCTAAGTGTGAAACTGCACCAAACTTCTTAACATGACCTCCAAACAATGTCTGGTTTCCTGGACAAACTATTATTTCTCCAGGCTCTCGGAACAGATTCAGATCTTTTCTAACTCCGAGACAACCTCAACTTATCAGCCAGAGTTCTCCTGTTTGACCAGTCACTAGTGGTCATTTCTTGTCCCACTTACTGCTCAGGTACGACAGCTGCCAGCAGGGTGCACCGGGGGAGCCCAGGTCTCTGGAGCGCAGCTACTCCGACATGGTGAACCTTATGAAGCTGGAGGAGCAGCTAAGCCCAGCGTCCAGAGGTTATCCAACCAGCTGCAGCCAGGAGGGCGACGAAGATACCACATCGGTGGCCTCTGACCGCTCGGACGAGACTTTCGACATGGCCAAGGGAAACCTGTCGCTGCTGGAGAAGGCCATCGCCCTGGAATCAGAGAGGGCAAAGGTCATGAGGGACCGGATGGCCTCAGAGCACACGTTTCCCCGTCGGGATCACCATCATCATCATCGTGGCCACGGCGAGCATAGCCCGAGGCTGAGCAGCGCCGGCGAGGAGCGCAAGTCCAGGATGCACCACGATGGGTTGAAGAGGGCGTACTACCCTAAAGGTAGGCAGTAAAAACCCACACACTGACCCTCAGTGTCATTATCGATCTGTGTTCAGCAAAGTTGTGAGACTGTTTATGTTGATTCTATATGTTTGTTCATTATGGACATATTGTGCTGGAAACTCTGTCAGTCAAAAAGTCTCCTGAGCAGCAGTAGCACTAACTTAAAGTCTTTCTCATCTCTTTGGCATCACATATCGTGTTATAGACGTCTCTGTGCACAATTGTAAGGGGTGAAAGTTCTAGTATTTGCTGCTGTTTACAGCGTAACCCAATGCTTTGTGTTCAAGAGGAGTTCTGTCCACATTGTTTCTTCATACACGTGGTCCTACACTCAGATATTTTACATCTGGGAAAGAGAAATTGTTGTCTGGGAGGCTTTTTCATACCAGGACTATTTTTATCACAGCGGCTGGACTTCCAGAGGCAAATTTAGTTCAGTCAGTCAGTCAGTGTGTAGCTCTACACAGTCAAACCACATCAGTGTTCACAGCTCCTGACCAAAATAATGTCCTAATAGTTAAAAATAAACGTCTTGTTAATTTAGCAGTAACAGTTTCACATTGTAATAAAGCAGCTGTGAAACTGTACAGAATCTTCATAATAAACTGTAAGATGATAAAAACAGTAAATATTCCTGAAAACTTGAGTGTTTGAACTGTATTCACAAAGTTGTCATCTGATCATGTTTCTTTTCCAAATTCTGCCAAATTCACGTCACCTCTTTGCATCACATTTGACCTGAATCCGCTTTTACTCCAAAAATCTGATCCCAGGTCAGCGCAGAGGAAGTTTATCTTGTCTGCCTGACTTATTGTAACCCTCAGCCCAGCAGCACCCAGAGGCTATCAGTGCTGTAGTGGGAAAAAAACAAATAACTGTAACTTTAATGTCTGTCTTTTTCCTCCCTGATTCAAACATTTATGTGCACATTGCCGGGTTGAGTGAGTTTTCTGACCCCTGGGCTCTTAAAACCTGTTAAAATCCCATTGTGTTATTTCAGAAATGCTGTACATGGCCGCCGATGAGATAATGGGCACTCATTTTCTGCATTCAGGACCAACACGTTTTTTTTTTTGCAGATGCACGGTTTTCCTCTGACAGCAGCTTATGTTGTTAAAATAGGCCGGTGTGGGAACATCAGACGGCCGGCTTGTCAGGCATGAGTAATGGCAATCTGCACGGCCCGTTAGGAGAGCAAATCCATCTGTGGGACGCTATCTGCGGCCTATTTCTCTAAATCTACTCAAATACAACCCCACTGCCTCTGGGAGGGAGTCAGAGCGGTGCAGTCATCAGCCACACAACAGACTCAGATGGGCTTCAGACTGCTTCATTAGCGCAGAGGATGGCTTTGCTAGACCAAAGGAATTTTGTTATTAGTCCACAGGAAAGCTTTCATTATGATCAAGAATCTGACCAAAGACAGTGAATTCGGGACAATTTCAGGGGTCAATTTCTGGCCCAAAGCTGAACCAAGTGCTGCTAACTGGAGCTGATTCTCAACCCAGTCGACCCAAATTTTCTCCCCTAAAACTGACATCACATTCAGCTGATTTCTTGTTGGAGTTGGGGGTTCGTTTTGTTTTGTTTTCCTGGAAAGGATGATGTACCCATTCTTCATTCTGCATAAGAAGCTAGGTCAGTTGTTTCTCCAACCACCAACAGCCATCACTGACATCAGACCTGTTTGACGCACTAAACAAATCTGAGGTGTGGGTGGTAATTCAGAGATCTAGAGCAAGGCTACTCGCCAAATCTGGCACCCATATATGGGCCAGAGCGACACTCGGCTGGTGGTTACCTGTCGGCTCAACACCACCTCCCTCTCATTTCCTCCGTCTCATCTCTCTGTCCTTTCCAGACTCTTCCAGAGGGGAGAAGAAGGAGAGTAAGTGTCCGACACCAGGTTGTGATGGGACTGGTCATGTGACGGGTCTGTACCCACACCACCGCAGCCTGTCCGGGTGTCCTCACAAAGACAGAGTCCCGCCTGAGAGTAGGTCCACTGCCTGGATGTCACGCTCCACTGAAAACACACCCAGCTTTAAAAAAAGTCAAAGTAATACTCTGACAAGTCATTTCAGCTAGCATATTACTCCAGTCTGATCTGTAGGTTGTGGTTTTTACTGTACAAACATTTCTGAGAGGTGGAGCTGCTTGGGAGGCAGAAATCATCTTATTCGTTGCGTTAAACATCAACTGGGGGAGCTTAGGAACCCTAGAACTAACAAAGCTGGCTAAATACCAAGATTAGATGTCAAAGAAAGATAAATACACTTAAAAGCTAAAAACTAATGTTAATAACAAGCTGTAGGCTAGAACTATTCGTTGGCATTGAGGATTTCTGAGCATGTGCACAACCAAAGGTCCAAACGGATGCATGCCAATTTGTAGCTAAAAGCAAGAATATCTCTGGCCTTAGCTGACTTAGGCAACTTATTATGGCTAGTTAGCTTTTTCTGAATGGTAGTAGTGGCTATATGTTTCTTAATGGGTCTAATGCTACATTCAAAACGTTCTATTCTTTCCATTTGTGTGAATGCAATTCATCTTAAAGAGCCATTCTTTAGCTCCAACCCCTTAGTTTAACTTAACCTATTAAACTATTTTTGCGTCTGAGAAATGTTTGTACATCTGAAACCATAGTTGTTGTTTTTTTATTTCACTTAAAACAAAAAAAGAAAATCTGCCTAAAACTTATTATCTGACAGTATTTAGAAGAAACATGTACCTACATGCCATAGTGTACTTCAATGCCCATAGAAAAAGTATCATGGCTGCTATTGTTTATTTACTGGCAGACCGAGATATATAACAAGCAGATATATTTCTCTTGATTTCAGAAGAATACGATATAAAGAATTAATACTTCAAATGACTTGTTGGATGGATTGTGTGTAGCAGTGAAAGTTGGACAATGTTGGGCATGTTAGCTGTCCACCATCATGCATCCGTCCTGCATGACTCCACATTTGTGTTTTGTTGTGTTGGAAGTGTTTTATAGATGTGCTGGGTTCGACTTGGTAAAAGCTACAGGTGGAGCTGAGGCTTGATCGCTCATTCATCCATAAATAATTTGCATTGTTTTAAATGAGAATTTTAGCATGTAACAAAACATATTCAGGCTATGGCTGGTATTAACATGTTTTTGATCATTTGATGATTGCTGCAAAACATTATCAAGGTTTCGAGTTTCAAAGACGTCTGACTACTGAATACAGTTTCACTTCTATCTAGTGCAAATCAACCTGTCCCGATTTTATTTCTTAACTGAAGCAAACATAAAAAAGTGTTGAAGTGAACATTTCATAGCACAAACACGCTCTTAAAAGTTGGTCGTCTTATGTTCACTGTGGGAAAACAGAGAGGTTTTTCTTTTGCTTTAGTTTTTGTGTCATCCTTTACTTTCTTTTCTTCCTCCTCATCACACCTGCCTGATGTCTGGTTTTGGTATCTGTGTTGCTGGTGTCATGTGAACAGCATGAACGATCAGTTTGATCCACCTGCTGCCTGCAAAAACTCACAAAACCACCTGCATGAGAACACCTCCAATCATCTGAACCTGCTTTAATGCATGCACAGTAAACTCACAGGTAACATGTTACGTTAGATCAAATCAAACTTGAGTCATCTTGGTGGGTTAGGGACGCACCTGCAGAACGAATAAAACAATATAAAGAAGAAAATCATACTACAATCGTACTACAAAAATCAGTTGTGTAGCTATATATATATATATATATATATATGACCACATTGGCTAAAAAAAACAACCCAATACCTTGTATAACTTAGAAACATAGTATTATCACCATAATCAAGTTTATTGTAATAAACAGTGTACAAAAGTTATATGACATTTCATAGTTTTCCAAGACACATTCAGTCTTTTCATTAAAGAGGAAGTGATTTTATGTGGAGGTAAAACATTTTGATAGATCATGTAAATCATGCGTTATGGCATGTTTTTGGTTAATGTACAGCATGAAAACACATTAAAACATTAAATATTATGCAGTATGAAACACCAGAAAGAATATGGAAAATAAAAATATACATGTACACAATAATTAATGAAGTGTCTCGGTGTAGAGAAACATTTAGTGCTCATCTTTCAACAAATGCTCATAAATTCTACATACCGTATCTGCATACTGTAGATGGATACATGACATATAAACAGAATGGATTGTGATATACGGCAACCAACCAACCTGTTGTAACACAGTGTTTAGTTCATCACCCCACACGTCGTTTCTTCACCATCTGCAGAGTCATCAGTAGATTTTAACAGTGCATGACAAACTTTTGCTTCCAGTTTGTTCTTGTCTCATGCAATTTCATGAAATGAGCACAGTGATCAAAACTGCAAATGAGACTTGTGTTTCCCCCGGCAGGAGAGGATTACATGTATCAGACATGACTGGAAACCCATTTGTTTGTGAGGGCAAGACATTTACCTTGAACTTTGAAAAAGATTTTCTGCTGGGAGGGACATTTTCATTGACTATGTAGAACCAAAACATGAAGGGAACCTGAAACTGTTGAGGTAGATAAAATAAAATGTATAGTTATTACTAGTCAGAAGTTGTTTTATTGGATCAATGGGTGGAAATGTGTTTACTTCCTGCTTTTGACACATAATCCTTTCACGCCGGAGTTTGTCATAACACTGAATCTTTGTTGCTGTGTTCATTATCACTCTTTTGAAGTTGTCGTGCCAGTCGTGCAGCTGTAATCTGTGCATGCCTAACCGTCGTAGCTGAACGCTTGGTAACTCTCCTGTCTGCTCCTAACCCTCGCTGTCTTTCTCACCTTTTCCTGTCTGTCAAAGTCCTTGCCATGTATGAAAATGTTTTAAAGTGCCCCACTCCTGGCTGCTCTGGACGGGGTCATGTCAATAGCAACAGGAACTCGCATCGCAGGTGAGTGAGCGTCCTTCAGCCAGGCCGCTAACAGCTGAATAACACCGCCGACATGTGAATGTGGCACATTTGCAGTACAAATACTGTAAGTTTGTTTGTTGTTTGGCGGAGAAGTTTAAAATGAAAACCTCTTCTTCATTTTAGTGTTGCTCTCTGAGCGTCACATTTGCTTCCCCAAATTTGTATTAAGCACACTCAGGTTTGTTTTGTCTTTGTGTGGCTTATCACATCTAATATTTACCTAACATAATCTAGGCACTGTCTATTGAAAATCATACATTAATGTCTACTGCATTCCTCAGTCAGTTGCAAGTCTTTCATCCTCTGAATACTGACCATTAGAAAAAGCACTTGCTGTTGATAGTGAGGGTTTTTGAGGAAAAATTGACCATCACAAGCATTGTCTTAATTCAGATCTGAAGATGTGACATTTCTGAATTGTGAACTGCTTTGTTCTTCCACTTTTAAAATCAGAGGCGAAAACACACAGGAAGTCTCTCGTTTGACACACAACCTTCACATGTGAGAAATTAGTTTTTGCATTTTTTCCCCCACTAATGTTGCACTTTTTATTCCAAAAAGAGCTGTTGGTCAAAGATTTGCAGAGGTTTATCTGGATATGAATCGATTTGAAAAATTGCCACATTTTCTCTGTTTCCACTGCCATCGTGCAAAAAAAGGCTGGAACATTCCCTCTGTTAGATGGAATGTGCGAAAGGGGCTTAAATTAAAATTTTGCCATGTTTGAGCTGAAGGTGTGTCTGCGTCACATCAGCAGTTCAGCTGTTTAAAAGGCAGAGCAGAGCATCACATGCAGGCAGCAAGTACACACACACACACACACACACACACACATATTTTTGGAATTATGTAATGTGATTAGGATTCATACTCATTTTCTCACACATACGTAGAGCCTCAGATCACACACATACACACAGTTTCATGCACACAAAGTCGTACTGGAACACACATTTGCATATCTGCACACACATTTGCATATCTTGCACACACACGCACGCACACACACGCACACATACACGCACATACTCACAGTAAGACACTTACAAATTAGCTCACAGACAGCAGCACACGTGCGCTGGCAGACAGAGGAGCACACACACACTCGCTCAGACGTGGCTGCAGGGTGTGTTATGTAGCACAGCTCCACTGGGAGAGGAAACAAAGCACTAGCTAGCTAGCTTAGCTACTGTTAGCTACCAGCTCACACAGCTTTCATGTCTGGCAGTCGCCATGGAAACGCCTCCATAGCAGAAGCAGCAGCAGCCACCGTGCTGATCTGTCACACACTCCTCGCACACTGCTATCATCCTTTAAAATGTGTGTGTGCTGGCAACGAGAAGATTTAATTCCTTCTGTGTGTGAGGTGATTGGGATTTGCCTGGAGTGACACACAGACGGAGAAGCAGGAAGATTTAGTTTTGAATACAAACTGTGTTGAAGCTAATCGCCTTCTCCTTTACCCCGAATTCACGCCAGAAACACCATGTCAGCGACTCGCATACTCTACGTAAAAGACTGTCCGTCCAATCAACACCCACATTATTTAGAAGCTGACTGAATGCCAGCAGTTGGGGGGAGCCGTAGAGCTGTGAGAAGAAAGTGTCTCCACCAGAAATACCACGAAGCTATCGGCCTGTCTGGTGGACAAAATGAGTTTCAGTACTCAAACCAACTGCATACCAGTCAGACCTTGAGTTTGCAAACCAGTCAGTCAGTAAACCAGTAATGCAGTCATCATAAAGTAGGCCATTTTAAAATCCATAAATAATTCTGAACTGCTGTTACTGACAGCTGAACCACTCTTCATTCAGAGCCAGATGCTGTGTTTGTGTGTGTGTGTGTGTGTGTTTGCATGCATGTGTGTTTTCAGTACAGTATGTAACCAGGCCGTGTGCTGTCTCTCCCCCCTCCTCCTCCAGTCTGTCCGGCTGCCCCATCGCTGCCGCAGAGAAGATGGCGAAGGTCCACGAGAAGAGCCACACGACTGACACCGGCAGTAAGACCAATCAGACGTCAGACCGTGTCCTCAGGTACCTCCCACTCTGAATCATCTGACTCGAGTCAGACCCACTTTAAAATACATTTTAATAATAATGATGTGTTTTGTCGCTGCAACCTCCAGTTGTCAGATATTAATGAGAGATGCTGAATGGTGCATTCAAATCTAAACATATACTAGAAACAGAAAGCTTAACTCGTCTTGTTCATTGTCGTTTTGGGTTTGAGAAACATTTAATACATGAACTTTTCTTAAAGCGGGGATGCTGAATGGTGCAGTGAAATTCCCCAATGTGCAGCTACTCAACGGAGAATCGTGTAAAACTGCCTTACAAAAAGGGGGCGAATGTATTATAGAACTTTTTAGATTCAACGTTTGTGAAATCTTTTTGAAAGATGCTGATTATATTATTCAAATCTGAGATGCTGAATGGTGCGGTTAAAAATTCCTGCACACAAACGCCCCCCCGGCATCTTTCGCCTCTGGTTTCCTTTCAGGCCGATGTGTTTCGTCAAGCAGCTTGAGATTCCTCAGTACGGCTACAAAAACAATGTTCCCACCAGCACGCCGCGGTCCAACCTGGCCAAGGAGCTGGAAAAATACTCCAAGACCAGCTACGACTACACCGGCTACGACAGCCAGCATGGCGGCTACGGAAAGAGAGGCCCGACAACCAAGTCCCACCACGGGCGAGACACCTCCCCAAAGGGATACGATGGTAAGAAAACTGAACGCACATCAACAAGCTGAACTGAATTGTAAATCACAATTTATTTAGTTATTTGTTTCCTTTGTTTAAAAGACACAGTATTATTGTTTACAGGCATTTGTGCTTATTTTTATTTGGCTTCTTGGTAGAAGGAGATTTTATTAATTATTAATAATATGAATTAATTTAAAGAAGTTAGAAGAAGAATAACAAGAAATAACAATGGGAATATGTTACACTCTTGTTTATTGATATGCCAAATTCATCACGTCTGGTAAAAATGAAAAAAAAAAAAATTAATTAGAATTCAATTATCCATTTTATTATTTTTATTATTGTCTTTTACTCTCAATCCTTTGTCTTTTTGAAGGGAATAAAACCTGCAAAATGATCCTACTATGGGGGATTTCTATTCATTTTCCTATTCTAGAGAGAACATTTTGTACTTGATGACAAAAGCTTGACAACACACACACACACACACACACACACACACACACACACACACACACACACACACGCTCAGTACTCAGTGTATTCTCTTTGTTATAGCACTGAAAGCGCCGGTGTTTTTCGCCTCTCCACATGGCTAGAGTGAAAGCAGAGCAGAGTTATGGAAATGCCAAGCTAAGAGCCTGCCTCCTCTGAACAGTGGATGGAGGGATGGATGGAGGGAAGGAGGGAGGGAGGGAGGAGGTGCAGATGGAGGGATTGTGAAACAGGAGAGAGATAATGGAGGCGAGCCCTGTTTCTTTGGCTGGGAGCCATTAGTGAGACGCAGGCAAGAGGGAGGTTTTTAGACGAGGTGTCTGCGCTCCCCTCCGTCACGACTCCCTCCCTCCTTTCTAACATCCTTCCCTCCATCAGCATCACTCCAGCCTGCTGAGCCCCGATTCACCATCACACCAGCATACAATCGCTAGTCTTTCTCATTTTTTCTTTGTCTCTACAGATTCCTCTGGTTCCACCTCTGTCTGTCTTATTTTCCCTCTGACTCTCTGTGTCTCCTTTTTTGTTGTCTAAAAATCGCATGAAAAGCCGGGAACCAGCAATGTGTTAGTCTCTCAGACACTTTCGGACTTCCCTACCCTGTCTGCCTCTTTCAGCCCCCAAGCCCATTTGCTTCTACTGAAGACATAAATCTTCAAATATGTAGTTTCCCTTTAAAAAAAATGCGTCCAGAATTTCCTAAAACACTGTAGTTTTCAGTAGCGGATTACTACACATTTGGTGCTTTTGTGAGTGTTTGGGACAGCAGGATGGTGTATGTGGGTCTGATGGTGCTGGTCTCAATGCAGAATATCACCAGACTTTCAGATTCTTTCTTTTTCTTTAGTTTTTTGCATATTTTAATTGAACTTCAGTTTGCAAATTTAGATCCACTGTAACAATCCATCTGCTGCACTCTTTGACAACCAATCTAACAAACCAGCCTTACGTGTGTGTCTCCTCCCAGCTAAGCGCTACTGTAAGACGTCGAGCCCGGCAAGCAGTACGACCAGCAGCTACGCTCCCAGCAGCAGCAGCAGCCTGAGCTGTGGAGGAGGAGGTGGTGGTGGAGGAGGAGGAGGTGGAGGAATAGGAGGAGGCGGAAGCAGCGCCAGCAGCACCTGCAGTAAGAGCAGCTTCGACTACACCCACGACATGGAGGCGGCCCACATGGCGGCCACGGCCATCCTGAACCTGTCGACGAGATGCAGGGAGCTCCCGCACGCTCTGGGAGGGAAACCCCAAGACCTGCTGACACAGGTAGTCTGAGGCAGTGTGCGCAAATACAGCACGTCTGCCTTCATACATCAAATTCACACACTGGAGGGGCAAGAGGGGAAAAAATTGATATTACAATAATCATCAGAATGTTATTTTGACATGTATGGGATGTACAGTAAAGTATTTAAAAAAGACATGGCAAAAGTTTGACTCATTTATCACGGTGAGTTTTTATTGGAGAATTCAGGTTTATTACAACTTCAGTCTTGTTTTTGTTGTTTTTACCTTCTTTTCTATCAGTAATAATAACATTGTACCCACCAAAGAGATCTGGGAATATGATGAAATCACTAAAAAGAAGTCTGACAGATTAAGAAATGTGAGCAGTCAGGTTTACAACTTATTTGGAAGAGAAAACGAAGGTGAACGGTACATTTTTTAACCCAAACTCATGTTTTACACATCCATCCATTACAAATTCAGTTCTTCAGTCAACTTTGACCTACTGTACTTAACATTGCTGTTCGCACAGTTTCCGCGTGCAATGAGGGATTGTTACCAAAATTTCAGGTGCGATCACTTGCTGTTTAACCTCTAAATTAAATGGTTTAGATGATGTGGATAAACTGTTTTTTTCCATGTTTCCAGATCTCAGCAGTCAACTTGGTGAGTACAACGTTATTATTTCTGTTAGAAATGATGGACAAAAGTATGAAAATAATAAAAAGCGTTCTTTCATGTTGGTAGTTAACCTGAATCTGGGAACTAAAACTTTGGCAAACCCAGATAGATGGTCTGATACTGGTTCACACTAGAGCCTGACTGTTACTGACATTTTGAGGCAGACACTTATATTGTAAGTATACTGTCTCAGCCGATGCTTTAGCCAAACATTAACACAATATGTCATAAGGGTATTCTCGGTTGGCTTGAGACATCCAACTTTTAACAACTGTTACTAAGTTGGGACATGGAGTTTGAAAGACGTGGGTGTTTACAAGGAGGATCTAATGATTATGGGAATTATAGGACCCAGTTTTTGGAGCTTCACTCATACTTTGGACTTAAAGCCTGGAAATTTCGGCCTCTGCTGCTTTAATTTGAACCATTTTATATTTAAACTGTGACTTGTGATTACCCCAACTGTATAAAAGTGCTAAATCAACCGAATTCACCGACCCTCAGTATTCTCACGCATACATTTATCTGCATTACATCTGAGATCATCAGCTCTTACCCTGCCTGTCTCTATCAGAGTCCGGTTGGCGACATGGACGACAATGGTGCGGTGGATGTGGCCGGTCAGCCCGGTGGTCCGGAAGGCAGCGGGACGGTGTTAACCCCCCTGCAGCCGATGTCGCCCCAGCGGCAGGCTCTGCTCAACAGCCGCTGCTACCAGCTGACCGAGGCCGACTGCTGGGACCTGCCCGTCGACTACACCAAGATGAAGCGGCTGGGAGACGAGCAGGACCACAAAGAGGTAACAGGAAGGTCTACGTCACAGAGTTTACATTCAACAGACACAACAGAACTTACAGAGTTTAGAATCAACTGATTCATTTCAAGGCTTTAGGGTTAAAAAGATGCTGTTCATGGAGTTTACAGTTCAGTTTGGATTAAAAACCACCACGGAAGTTACAGTTAAGAAACTTTATGGTTTACAAAGTTACATTATTTACAGTTTACACACAATAGAAACACTGCAGCTATTTACAGTAATAGTTTACAGTTTACAAGTTACAAGTTTACATTCAACAAAGTTACCATGCCTATTTTTACAGTTACTACTAATAGTTTTGATGATACTATGAACTGCTATAATATAAAGTTACAATAGTAACTACACAGATTACAGTGAACAGAAATGCTTCAGAAGTTGGAGGTAGAGAATTAGTTTACACAGTTAACTTTTTACAGGTTCAGTTTGTAATTGAATTCACATCTTTGAGTTGTAAAGTTTAATTTGCAGACTTTGTAAAGTTTACAGTTTACATTTGTACTGTCGACAGAAGTTAGATTAAGTATTAACACTTTTGTTACAGGTTATATGCAAATTATTTCTTGAAGATTTCCTGGAATAAATTATGTATTTTATCACTATTATATACATTGTTAATTTACTTTTTAATTTAGGTTTAGTTAGTTGTGTTAAAAGTTGTTGATTGCCAGAGGAATTTCCCTTAAAGAACTACTCCAATTAAATATTCATTCAATAGCCATTAATTATTGGAAACTTTATCGTCATATGTGTTGAAATGTTTTTTTGCTTGTTTCCCATTGATGCAAGGTTTTGGTAACAATTAATTGGAATTAATTAATTTGAAATGCACAATATCTGTTTTAGCTCTGCACTATAAAAGTCCAGAGCTCATACTTTACCAGATGTACAGTGAGAATTTAGGGTTAACACAATTTATAACTTTACTTAATTAAAACTTATAACTAATAACTAAAAATGTACACAAGTCTACAGTTTAGAATTTACTTAAGTGGTTTGTGCTGCAGCTGATATTCATACAGCTTACAGTTTAAAGTTTACAGGCATTGAAAAAAGGTTAATATGTCACATATTATAAAGAGTCCCTCAGAACTTATTTACAATGACGCACATTAATGGATTCTCGTGGTAATGTGTATAACATCAGTTTAGTTCAAACTGTTCAAAAGTTAAGTGATGTGGAGGCAGAGAGAATCACTTAACTCTGAAACCTTAAAGCCACCTTAGACTTTTCATTTGAAGATTAATGTAACATATGCTTTGAATAAGACATGAAAAGATACAAATTTAAATATTGCTCATGCTCCACACTCTGCCCTTACAGTTTATGATTAAGGGCTATAACCACCTAATTTAATAGTTAGGCAGCATGTCCCCTAATCATGCCAAGTAAGGATAATTTGAAGCATGAAATTGAGAGATTTAAGGAACCCAGAGTTTATATTAAAGGGTGCACGCATAGATTAAGAGATGATTACGCTCTATAAGCTGTTTAAAGGGATGCTTGTCCCCTGATGCATAGCAGAAAAGCACCATAGAAGAAGTTGTGGTCTTATTCTGCGAGGGCGTACTTCTGGTTGCTAGTACGCATAATTTTTGCATCACTTTACATACATAAAAGGGAATTTTGTAAGCTTAGTAGAGTCCAGTGTGTTTGCATGTACACCTTCGCTAACCAAAGGCATGAAAACGGAAAGACAGTGCTTGCCAAAGTTGTACATCACCACTAACTTTTTGTTGTTATTATGTTGTTACCCTAAAGCCACTAAATAGAAATAGTTCAGTGCTGAAAGCAGCCGAATAATGAGGGAAGGCCAAAGACAAAGATAGTTGCTGTAAAAGAGGAGCTTGATTGTAGTTAAATACAAGGTGTTGATTTAGTTTTACAAACTTTGATATAAAAGAAGAAAATGTGTCACAGGCAGGTGCAGTGAGGGTGTCTAAACGTCCTAAGTGACGATCAGGCAGCATGAAGCTAATTCTAATCAGATCAGGACCCGAATTTCTTCTGAGAATCACACAAAAAAAAAAACAATAAAACTCGTTATTCGCTGAAAGAGAAGAATAAGACACATTTTCAAGCGACTCTCTCTCTTATTACTTACGGCAAATCAATCAGAGACAAGAACTGTGTCCGAACTCTCTCCCTCATTTACTCATTCATTACTCCCAATATAATAGACACACACTACTTTGCTCTATAGTCATTTGCATCGTTACTGGCGGCTTTAGGGTTGTTAGCAGAGGGTAGCGTACGTGACATGGACAGTAGTTTTTTTATTCCACTGTGGGGATTTTCGAGGGCACTATATAGCACATTTACACAGTCAGAATTCGGACACTTAAATAAAGCGGATGAAGTAAAATGTGGCGCACTATATTGCTGATATGGAGTGATTTCAGACACAGCCAGAGATTTACTTTGCATATATCACACTGTTAGTTCTTTTTAAGTGACCCTCCACTCAGAAACATGCTTCTTGTCCCTACAGTTGGATGTTTGAGCATCATGGTGCAGAGTGATGTAGAGTTGAACACTAGAAGGATGTTTTCACATTAAGCTGCTGAAAGTGGAAAGTTGCTCTGAGCTCATTGAAAATCTGATTTGGTCCTGGTCCCGGTCCAGTGTGCACCTTGTTCAAGTGTGATGTATAAACGTGAAGCCAGCAGTGCACACACACTGAGAATGGAGACATCTTGTGTCCAGCAGGAAAACTTTATTAAAGAAATTTGCATATTCAGAACTTCTGGAATATTAAGAGTAGATGATTTTTTTAAAGGATTTTGTTTGTGTAAAAAAACATATCAGACACTCATTATTGTTCCAAGCTATTTGTATATGTCTTAATACATGTCTGGAGGGGATATTTAAAATTCTTCCATCTTAAGATTTGGTACAACATTGACAGGTGCGGACAATGAAGATGCATGATCGCAGACTAAATCACTTTAGTTTTGTTGCTTGCAGACATGATAAATGCAAAAAACAAGAAAAGTGGTGTAACATCCTATCTTTAATTCAGAGTAACTACCTTACTCCGAATTATACATATATCTTTCATATATATATCTATATCATATAACTCTCCAAAGACAGGCTTTCTTAACCAATGTGAGACTTCTGGAGCTCTCTTAAACCTGAGAGCATTCTTAAGTCAAAAGAAGTTTGATAAGTATCTTTTATTCTTAAGTTTCTGAGTAGGAGTAAAAGTAGGAGTTTTAAATATAACCCTGGATGATTTGATGGTGATGGATGCAGCCATCTTTGCAGCAGGCTCAGTGCGCTCTCATGTGGTCAAAAGCGGCACTGCGCCAGCTCAGATGCAGCAGCTCTCTGAATGAACGCTTCAGGAGCTCGAGCACGGTGCATTAAAATGCTGAATTACACCGCTAATACATAAGTAAAACATGATAGATCATCTGCACGCTTTAAATCCTCACAGATCTGATATCACACAGAGCAATCCATGCAGCAAATTGCTACATTTGCCTTGTTGGATTCAGAGCGCTGAAGTGAAAGGTTTTAATCAGGAGAGTAATTGCGTTTGTTAATGAAGCACGACATTGCAGAGGAGGCTGGAGCCTGGAGCCCGCTGGCTGATGGGATTTTCTCCAGACAGTCCTGAACGATTTCTGCTCCCGACTGAGGAGGTGTGATGTGTGGACTGCAGAGCAGACTGCAGCGCTCACAGCCACAAAAAAGCTCTCGTTCACTCTGTCCAACTGGTGCAGAGGGAGTGTGAACTGGTTAACTGGTGCTGATTTATTTCACTGAAGCATTTCCACATGTCAATATAGTCAGATAATACAGTTTGGGCAGGAGAAAGCAGGAGGAAATGAGTGTATTCTCGCCTCCAGTTGATTTAACAGACGCCACAAGGGAGGTAAAAATATTGGAAATGATAAACTTGGCTCACAGATGAGTTCATCTTGTGTCTTGTCATCTACAATGCATGATTTTTATTACTTTTGAGATAATCTAATTTTGTTTTTACAGTATTTGGCATGCAGATTAAATGAATGCACAGATTAATAATTGGTTATTAAGAAAACATGCTATAAAAGATGTTACATTTTTCTACTTTATTGTCACAGGTTTAACATTAAACACAAGATATAACAACATGTAGAAAAAAACAGGCTCTCAAATTCAGCCAAACACTGTATAATGGTGATATTGTCCGACTGTCGTTAATAATTATAATAATATATAATAATATATCAAAGTACTCCTGCTCATTTTACTGAACAACACATTATTTCCAAGGACATTTTCTTCTTATGGCCTATGCAGCTTTTCTTTGGTCTGAACCAGAAAAGTACGGAAGCTGAGGTTTAGCTGTGATTAGGGCTATAACTAATAATTATTCTCATTTGCTCTATATATTATTTGTTTGGTCTTTAAAATACCAGGAAGTAATAAAATAATTAATAATAATAAAAAAAAGCCGATTGTAATTTCTTTACATGTAAAATTCTAATAACATAGAGTACTCAAATAGGTTTCACATTCTCTGTTAAGGAGGATTTTTTACTTTCATCCAGGTTCACGTTTGAACTCATTTATTTATTTATTTTAATTTAAAGTTAAGTTCAGTTTAGTTGTCGATTACTTTTCTGTCAATCGACTTGTCGTTTTAGTTGTAATTGAGATCATGACTTTATTATTTTGTTATCAAAATAAAATGTTTCCTTGTCCTTGAGGCAAAGGTGACGCTTAAAGTAGATAGTGACATTATAGGGTCATTTATTCCTTGTTGTTATTAAGATACCTGCCACAAAACATGCATTATTGGAGGAAAAAACTACAAAACACATTAAGAAGAGCTGCAGATCAATCATCATCTCAATTTCAAAGGTCCATATGGAACTGTGAACTGTGTACATTTTAATGTTGATCATCAGAAAAGCTGCTAAAATACACTCTGATGTAGCAAATAAACACCAAGCCAGTGTTGGTCATTTAGCTAGTAACTAGAATTAGAACAAGTTTCTTGTTTTTGAATGACTTTCTGACGGTCAACCTGCTTAATTAATGTATTTGTATTTATGTATTGGTTTATTTTATAGGTGCAGCACAATAAACACTGCTGTAATGCTAAGGTATCACCTGTGTCTGAAAGGGAAACATAACGTTGTAGAAGTGCACTTTGTGTAAATATGCTTACATAGAGCTAGTAGTGATATGTTGTAGTCTGCTTATTTCTCGTCCCTACACCAGAGCGACGAGCTGGATCCCTTCCAGGAGCTGCTGGACGAGCAGCGCTACCCAGCCGAGGTCACCATGCCCAGCCCCAAACACCACAAGTACCCGCCCTGCAAGGAGAGCAAGAAGGAGCTCATCACGTAAGACTCTAAACCTGATTAACACAACATTGTTATAGGATGTCTAGAAGTACTGAAAGCCAACCAGACTTCACTTTATTGCCCCTTTATTGGAAACAGGCCTTGCAGACATTCAGTAAGTATTAACATAGCCCAAAACAAAAACAAGTCTAGACCTAGAGGACGGAATGAAACTAAATAACAACCTTGCAAATTTAGAAACAGAATGCAGTGGCCAGAAGTAGAAAGTAATTGTGTAGGTTGTTTTTATTATTCTTTTTATTTTTGGCTGCTCATATTAAGGTAAAAAAGAAAGAGAAAAATGTTTCCTTTAAAAGCAAACTGTTTCCTGATCATAATGTACATTATTATTTAGCTCAGTGAAATAAGGACAGAGAAACGTGGGTCCTGTATTGTTCACCTTATTCTCCCTCTTCTCTTCTACTGGAAAAAATAAGATCAATTTACTAAGTAGCATTTACTTAAAATGTGCCTCCAGTTTGACGTCATTTCACTTGTTTCAGTGCCAACTTCACATGCATTTTATTGAGGAAAAACCATTGCATAAGTCAAGTCACTGAATAAAATTTTATTGTTAAAAAATATATTTTTTAATGTGAATACGAGATTCACAAGTTAAAATTCAATTTGTGTCTCTTTTCCTCCTGCAGGTTGTCAAGCTGCCAGCTGGCCGACAAGAACATCCGCGGGATGATGGCAACCAACGCACAAGAACTCAAGTAAGTCTACAAAGTCAAACTAAGTCTGTGCAGTCTGGAGTCCGAATGGGAGCCTGAAGTACAAGACAGTGCTCATTCAGTATCCTGACCTCCTGTGACACTGCTGTTGTGTTTGTGCCTCAGGTGTCCGACCCCCGGCTGCGATGGATCTGGACACATCACTGGAAACTATGCCTCCCACAGGAGGTACAGTAACCACGCTGCCTGCTGCCATGAATCAAACTACAACAAAAATATACAGTACTTCTCTCTATGTGTCTTTTTTTTAAATTGTCTTCTGTCCTGCAGTCTGTCCGGTTGTCCACGAGCCAAGAAGAGCGGTATCAAGATCCTCCACAGCAAAGAGGACAAGGATGACCAGGAGCCAATCAAGTAAGGTTTCTGAGAGGCTGCATAACTTAAATGTGAAGAGAAACTTTTAAAGATGTGTGAGAAATCTTACCTCAATATGTTTATTTCATTCTCTCAATTGACCAAATTATGCTCTCAAATTACTTAATTTGCCCCCTCACCTTTATACCCATCGTAGTGTTTTGTTTCACAGATCAAAATATAATCATAACCTCAGCCTAGACAAACATCTTAAATAAATGGTTCAATTGCGCTTTCATCATCTCAGAAACATATCAAGACCATTTATTTTTACCAAAAGTCTGGATTCTTACTTTCATAACTAGTTGGATAAATTACTGTAATTTCTTGCTCTCTGGCATCAATAAAAAAATCCCTCTCCTGTCTGCGGCTCATCCAAAACTCTGCCACCAGGATTTTGACAGACACTGAGCAACATGAGGCTCCACTTTGAAGTAATGTTTCTGGCAATCTGACAAATCTACGTCAAATATTCACTCCCCCTTCAGCTCTTTTCTAACTCCTAATAAACATATCTGGCTCTTTTCTGCTAGATGCTTCATTATGCTCACCAGCTAGCCTCTAACTTTTCTTTTCTGATGTTTGGTAGTGTACAGGTTTTATTCCTCTAAAAACAGCTGCCTGTTGCTGCTGGAAAAGAGGTTGATGAGAGTGAACTAAAACATTAAAGTTGTGGCTGTAAAACCAGAACCAAAACTTCTGCACCTTGCATCAACCTACTGAGCTGTGTGTTTAATACAGTTCTTATAACTTTATAAATATAAGATTCATATATTCTAGTGTGCAAATAGAGCTCATAGCAGCCACATTACAGGGAAGTCTGTCATGCTGCTGACAGATCCATCCATCTACTTTCTCTTAAAATGCTGCCTGTGTAATGCTGACCTTTCTAACTTTAGGAGGGAATATTTTAGAGAGGAGCTGTGGTCAGTCCTCCACTTCACCTCCCGCTCCCAGCAGGCCGAGTCCAGTAAAGGTTAGCACAAGTGAGCGGTTGACATTTTTGTTAAAGCAGAGCCATAATGTTAAGCCAATATGACCTTGTGAATAATCTAAAGTTCAGCCGGTGTCAGTCTGCAGCCAGCTGTTGCTGCCACCTCTGTTCCATCCACCATCATCATTAACAGTGAAACTATAATTAAGCTTAACCTGAGCTCGGCTGGGGAGCGGCCCGCTGTCGCTTTGGCTCATTCTAATCAGCCCAAATGTCACTGCGAAGGGCGTTCTGGGATGCAGGAGGCAAAGCAGAGTGTCTGGAAGCTGAGGTGGTGTCATCTTCAGAGTGAAAGGTGTTTGTCCGGCTCATGGTGACACCGTGGTGGCCTGGAGGCCTGGAGGCCTTGGAGGGGTGGGGGTGGGGGTGTATGGATATGGATTTGCATAAGACTGCACCAACGTTTTTTCTTGTTTTAGCCCAATAACTAAAAGTTGAGCTGGTTAAATGGAGTGCTGGCAGCATATGAGGCGACAGGTATGACATTTAATCTCTATCAGCTGATAATCAAACAGCAGCAGGTGGTGAAGATGCTGTGGTAAGATTTAGTTTAATCTTTTTACAGCTTTTAAGTGTTGGCAAAGACACTAAAGAACCTTTTTCTTTCTGTATTTAGTCACGGGAAACATGTTCATTAGTCTATAAAACACATATAGTGTACATATTCTCTTTTATAATAGTACTATACTGCTTTATATTTCCTAATGTAAATGTTTCCTTTTAATATTTATGTTCTTGAATTTACAGCACTTGTTTTTTATCTTGTTTTCTCTCAAAATGTTAATTGTTATGCACCAAAATATCAAGAAAAATTCCTTGCCTGTGACAATCTAGTTGGCAGTAAACCCCAGTTCTGATTCTGATATTGTTTGGGATGCTGTTAGTATTTTGTTTACATGAGCTGTTGATTCAGTTCAGCATAAGCGGTGTGTGACATTTTGCGTACTGAACACCAAATTAAGTGAAAATCACGGCCAAACACCAGTTGAGTTTTGTGCAGCCATTCACACTTGGATGATGTGTGTGGAAAAGCAGACAATGTGACACTTTGTCTGTGTTTTCTTGTGTTTGTTCTTCCTCTCAGGTGTCCGGTGCCGGGCTGTGATGGACAGGGTCACGTGACGGGGAAGTACGCCTCCCACCGTAGCGCATCAGGATGCCCCTTGGCAGCAAAGAGGCAGAAGGACAGCTACGTCAACGGCTCGCAGTTTGTCTGGAAATCTGGCAAGACAGACGGCATGAGCTGCCCGACCCCAGGCTGCGATGGCTCAGGACACGTCAGCGGGAGCTTCCTGACCCATCGGAGGTGGGCGTGGCTCTGTGTCACTCTGTTTCAACTGTATAACAGTTTTTTTTGTTTTTGTTTGTTATTATTACTGTTATCCTCAGCTCAGTGTTTATTCTGAATGAACAATTTGCAAATCATATCACATGTAGATTGATTGACGCTGACAGACTGCCATTGCTTTTATTACATTCCTAAAATTAAAATCAACTTGCACAATCCATCCGTCGTCAATGTATGTGTGTGTGTGTGTGTGTTTTATTCCAGTCTCTCCGGTTGTCCCCGCGCCACCTCTGCCATGAAGAAGGCCAGGATGAGCAGTGTGGAGATGCTGACAATCAAGCAAAGAGCAAGCAAAGGTCAGAGCCAAACCCTAACCCAAAACCGATAAAAACTAAAACTTATTTGGATCAAATTTAAATGTTGTTTTTGGTTTCAGGAATCGAAAATGATGAAGAAATCAAACAGCTGGATGAAGAAATCAAAGATCTGAACGAGTCCAACAATCAAGTGGAGTCAGATATGATAAAACTGAGGACACAAGTAAGATGATTTCTGTTTGCTGTCTCAGAAATACATTCAGACTTTGGGTAGATATCTGCTGGTGTGGAAAACAGCTTAAACAAGAATCATGTACAAACATGTAAGTAAGAGTACTAAGAGTTTATTTTGAATAAATTAGAGAACCAACTTTCTATTTTCTCTACTTTATATATAGTATAGTTTGCAAAAATAGAACATATTATTTTTGGATGAAAAGAATAATGCCTGCACACTGACTGCAAACCACAACTTTATTCAAATGGACAATATTTAAATAACAGTCCCAGGTTAATTATCCATATTTCCCTGTGTGATAAACATCTAAAAACACTATTAACTTTCTGAAAAGAATACATCAATCCCAAAGCAAAATATCTCCAATAATGACAACTATTGTTACATGAACGAAAAACAGTCAAATACTGTACATGACAAAAGCATGTTTCCCCACAAATCTCCACTCATATACATATTTCCATTTCTTTCTGACAGCTATACCCAAGGAGCCTCTTGCCAGTAAGGTCACAGCAGATATTTTACTGTTAGGAGTGACACAAATTACAATCTTAAGTGAAATCTTCGGGGGGGGGTTTTCCCTGACTCAAACTCAGTGGTTAAGATGCTGACCGTGAACCACGACGTCACTACAGTGTTTAATGCATCTCCTTCACTCATTCCCTCATCGTCTACCAAAAAAAGAAAAACAATCACATGCTTATAATTGATTTCCTCACATGCAGATCACCACCATGGAGACCAACCTGAAGTCCATCGAGGAGGAGAACAAGGTGATCGAACAGCAGAACGACTCACTGCTGCACGAGCTGGCCAACCTCAGCCAGTCGCTCATCAACAGCTTAGCTAACATCCAGCTTCCACACATGGTAAGTTCGCTGGTTTGTTCGACTCATATTTTTATAGCTTCAATAGAACCGTTACAGTAACAAAAGTTACAAGCTTGGAAAGTAATATTTTCTCGTATCCAGAATTTGCCTTAGGATAATTTATCTCAGTATCACATGAAGAAACCTTATTTTATGTTAATACGAATATTTTGAAGACAGACTCACAAAATTAAGAAATTAAATGTTAAAGTTTTATTTTGGTAGGTAATTGGTCAATAACCTACCTACACAATAAGAGCTATAAGTTCATTCCTGAAATAGTCTGTAGCTTTTTGTTTTTGCCTTGAATTCAGCCAGGTAGCAGCTTCTTCCCCTGAACAGGCTTCAGGCTGTAATGTATTTGAATGAAGTTAGTTTGTTTTATTTTCATTTAGTCTGACCTGAGGTTCTCAGCGGTGCTTCTTAATTGGATTATTTAATGAGAACAATCTATAATTTGCAATTTGACTATTTTGGTAGAAATATTGTGAGGATTGACCCGAACTAGTTGTTGTAAACAATGAAGGATTTGATTGAATGTTGGTTCACTCCTGCGATGTCAAAATCACAAAATCACACATTTCCAGAGGGATGTTAGTTTCTCTTTAATTTTGTATTGTTCTTAAAAAGTAATTCTGTAAAAAAAAAAGTGGAAAAACTGCTGGTGAGATCAATTTCTCCTTTTGCAACTTTTGTCTTTGGAATCATTATTACATTCAAACATGACTGTTGTCCTATTTTCTTGCATTGAAGAACAAAATAATAGACAAAATGATGTGTTAAGATTGAGATCTTTCGCAGAACACCAAGCTTTATTTTTTCATTTTGCTTAGTTTTACTCATCATTCTATATGACGGAGTTTGGAGCTTCTATGTTTGTCATAATCTCATAATTAATGTGCTAAATTAGTTTCCTGCTTTGTTTTAAACACTGTTTGGGGGACAGTAAAGATTTGAAGTAATCCGAGGAGAGCTAACATCTGCTCGCGATTTTAATCCAGTGAGGTGTTAAAGTCGTCTCCAGCCTTTTCTGTAGCGACACTCAGGTTTTTTCCTCATCTGCTTCTTTGTGTTCGCCACCTTCTTTTTTCCCCCAGCAGTCCATGCTGTGCTTCTTCTGTGCTTTACAACGCCTCACAGAGTTTCACATAAGGAAACAGCCCCGTCTTTTTTCAGTTTGAGTGAAGTGCTCGTGGCTGTTTTGGCGTCATGTTGTCTCAGTGTAGAAAGAAGACTGGGGCTAATTGGATAATCTCTCTCTAAACAGTATGAACCCGAGTTGCTTGATGACTGGACTATTAGCCTCCTGTTCTTCCATTCATGTGCGGGATCGCTTCATATCACACTGCAAGAAAAAAGTCTGTCTTAACAAGCAATCTGATCTTCATCCCCCCTATAAAACAAGCTCTGAATCTTGCATCAGAGTGGATATTTTCACATCAAAAAACAGTAGAATTGGTAGACTTTTCCCGTTATTGTAACGGAAAACACCAAATAAGGCTTTGTTCCCAATGCAGGACTTCATTCTCAGATCCAGATTGGTGGTCAAATCTGTATCTGTATTGTAGGACATAAGCTTTGCAGATATATCTATAACAATACGTGAGCTAAGAACTCTGATTGGCAGAGTAAAAAATGACAAACAATGTCATGTTTGTCCATTTTAGTTTCTACAGTTTTCTACTACAGTTATTTTCCAGTTCGAGTTGAATTAAATAAATTACACTATTCTTTCCATCGTCTTGTTGTTATTTTAAGTACGATAACACTGAGAAAACTTTCAGCTGCAGTGCGAACAGAGCCGGAGGGGGAATGACTTGCTAAGGCGGACGTTGTGTGTTTTTTTTCCCGGTGTAGCTTATGAAGCCTTGTGACCACCGCCGTGTGTCTAGCGGGCTAATAGACTTCTCTGTACACCCTCTCCTGTAGAGACCGCTGCCACAGAAAGAGGCCCCAGTAAAGCATAACTGCTGTTTACAGATGCCTCCCAGAGTAAGAGATCCATTTATCCTTTATCCAATTATCCTTCTCTTCTGCACTGTCATCCTCCCCTTCCTATAACTCCTTTAGCCCACTGTGGCGTCTGCACATCAAACTATCCATTTAGTATACAAGAGTGTAATCATCTTTTTAAATAGTGACAGAAACTACCTGCGGCTGTTCCTGACAAAAAACATCTGATGTGGCTTGATACCTTTTGCAAAAAACATTGATTATATCTGAGAAAGTACTGGGGCTATTGAAGCTTTGAGAAGATGTCTTTAAAAATAATTTGTCTAACTGAAATAGGTAATTTAAAAATGAGACATCCGAGTCTCCTCTGAGACTTGGACCTCTGACTATATGATACAAATCAGATTCACATGAAAAAGCAACAATAAGAGGAATTTGTTTCGGAATCAAAATGAAAGATGAAGTCCTGGTTCTGCTATTAATAGTTTTAGATCCACAAACCTGGAGGAAGAGCTGCTCTGGAATCAAAATAATCTGATTGGTTGAGTTAAACAGTGTAGTGATTGCACTGCAACTTGGTGCAAGTTAGGTAACTGGCAAAGAAAGTCATAATACAAGTATATGTAAATAAGAATGAAAAATAGATTTATAAATAAAAACTAAAGTAATTCAAATTCTGTTGGGAAAAAAATACAGATAAAACATTGCATGCAGTGAAATAAAGTTTAATTTGTCAAGGAAAGCTGAGAGAAGTGGTGATCTTAGGCCATACTGTGAAGTCAAGGGACTCAGGGCAAAATTAAATAAAGATTCCTTACATTTTATAGATGCCTCATAAGGTTATCGGATCTGTGCATCCCTAGTTTTCAAAGGGACCATGTGTTAGGAAAATAGCAGGAAATAGTTTTGATAAAAACTCATTCGTCAAGATGAATGCATTATCCAGAGTAAGAAGAAGACACCCTTCTGGGAAGAGGGATGTTGCTCATTTTCCCCCAAAACTGCAACGAACAAACTTAATTGCTTTACCCCCAATTGTATTTGGGTGAGGGCAGAAATAGACAGATATTTCAAAACCTGGACAAATAAAACAGAAACTACCTGCATGGCTAGATACTATTAAGGGTGAGTGTAAAACTATGTAATTGTGTCATTTTTGTCATATTTGAGATTTGAAATCGTCTAATATAGACAGTGTCTAGGGCTCAGAAAACACATGCAGGTTAAAAAGAACTGGGCCTAAAATCGAGCCCTGAGGTATGCCACATGTACAGTAAAACTTAGTAAAACACTCAATGCTTCTTTGCTTTGCCCATTGAGGTTGAACTCAACCAATAAGATTGTTGTTGAAGCCGAAGCTGCTCGGTCTCTCAGAAACACTTAAACGACCAAACTCCCAGTTTTGCTAGGCTAAGCTGAAGTACCAGTTGTGTCTCTTTCATCTCCCCATTAACCTCCCATTGATTTTTAACATCCTGATTTTGTCTCCATATGCTAAACATTAATCTTCCATCTATCCACAAGCTAACCATCCCTCTCCTGATTTTTGCATGGTTTGGAGTTGCACTGCGTAGACCTTCACAGGCTGAAGTATAGATGTTAGTTATCATATTAAAATGTAATAAAAAGGACTTTTTCAGTGAGTTTGTGTATCTGAACCATGCTTTCCTGATAGTGTTCCCTCCCTCCCTTGCTGTTTGCCTGTCTTCCAAACCTTTCCCACAATGTCTTGTAGGAAATATACTGACTGTCTGTAAACACATACACACCTCCTCTTATCCGTCTGATTGTTTGTTTCTTCATGGGTTTCTTTCCCCTCACAGGAGCCAATGAATGAACAGAACTTTGACACTTATGTGAGTACATTGACAGACATGTACACTCACCAGGACCAGTACCAGAGCCCGGAGAACAAGGCGCTGCTGGAGAACATCAAACAAGCCGTTCAGGGTATCCAGGTCTAGCCCTGATAGAGGCCAAAATAACAAATGCAAAGCAAAAACAACAAAAAAAAAAAGTCAAAAAGAAGGGAATTGGTTGTTTTTTGCTGCTGTAATCTACCATAGTTCTTTTATTTCTTCTGCTGTTATGCTCTCAACTCCATGGGTATCTCTTTTTTTAAATTATTTTGATTGTTGTTGCCTTGCTTTGAAAAACAATTACCAACGTTTTAAACAAACATTCACGTTTTGTACATTTTCATATGATCTAATATAATGTGATGTACTGTTTATAGCTGCTAATGTATGCACATTCTAGTGTATATGTATGTATTTATTTATCGTAAGCTTGAATCATTTTCTTTTTTTAATTTCAATGCGATTTACATACATAAAAAAACTGGGCGTCACGGGTTTAACGGGGAGCAGAGCTGCGAACGTGAAGAGCAATCATTTTCGAAAGGCTTCTCTCACGAGCTGTAAAGCTGGAGGTCGTTTAAATGGATGTGAATTCATTCATTTTTGTAAGGTTTTGAAAGTGGAACGCGTGGACACTATTATTACTGTAAATCTTTGGCTAAAATTATAAGAAGAACCAATGCTATAAGCAAGAAGATTTCAAACATCATGACACGGAAACTTACTGGTGCAAAATCCCATCATCCCCCTTTTCGGAGTTGTTTCGTTTCAAACTGTCCTGTTCTGTCGCTTTTTTTTGTTCATGCGAAGAACGAAGCGGGAAGACCCTTGGCTTCAGAAAATGTAGGAGACAATCTGCCATTCTGAATTTCTTTTTAATCATCAACCTTGACTAGCTAATAGGACAACGTGTCAGCAATATTGGTATGATAATATTAAATCGTTTGTTTAGATATGGGATGCAATCTATATGAAAAAAAAATGTTTGGGTATATGCAATTTCTTATGAATAAAACTAGCAAAGAGCTGATAGATCTTTTTACTAACTATAAATGTATTGCGTTTTGTATAAACCTTTTACTACAATCATGTTTTAGGAATCTGACGCGGGTGAAAGGACTTTGGTTCTGTCATGTTCGACTTTGCACAGGGACACCTTTGTTTCCATGTTTTGATGTTTTTATTGTCGATTAAGAGGCACTTGGCAGACGAAAGGATTTGTAGATATGATTTTCCTTTCTAAAGGCTGACGGCTCCACTGGACTTACAGGGTCAAACGTCCCCATCCGTCATTGTATATTGCACTCGTCCTGTAGAAAACGTCTTTCCAATCATGCATCTTATTGTCTGAGCCACAATGGGACATGATGCCAGACGACATGATGACCAAGCAGCACTTTTTTTTATTAGCTTTTGATTGTTATTGAAAAGATAAATGAAAACTAGAGCCAGCAGTCGTAACGCGATGTCTGTGCACTGAATTTACCGACTGAGTATTTGATCTGAATCGGCCTTACGATGACATTCAGTCTGAAATCACAGCACTGATGGAATATGTTTTCTGAACACCGTCGATCATGCATGCACTTTATTGGAGTATGTCAAAGTATTATCACGTGGTAAATGAAGCAAAAACTGTACAGCGAGTTTGTGGAAACTGTGACTTTGACAAGACTTTGTGCTGGTGATTCCTGTTTGAAAGCCACCTGGAGCATTGAGTTGATTTGTTATTTAAAGGAAAACTCCCCCTCTGGTCCCCTTACTCTGTTAACCCCCTCTGCTGTAGTTTATTTTTAACATCAAATCCATTTTAAAAGACATATCAAAAACAGAATTCTGATCCACACAAAAAAACTCTGATAAATGCTGTTTTTAACCACCAACAACACAATTAAAAAACAAACAAACATGAATGCATCGTTGCATTGGTTAACATGAGACCTGTTTCTCTCTCCAAAAGCGACTTTTTACAACTTGTAAACAGAGCTGTGAAATGAGAAGGGTTTTGCGAAAGCTCCATTTCCATTCAGCTTTCAGTGCCGTTATTTTTCAAAGAAATACTCTCCAGTTCTGATGTAACTGATGCCAGCAGCATCGACGCTAACCCTCGGCTGCCATAGCTTTTTTCAAGAAAACAGTCACATCTCGTAGCTCATGCCGTAGCTGACAGTAGTTCCTCAGAGGACGCTGATTGGTTCGAACCACATAGCTTGACGTCTTGCAAAAAGGATTCTCTCGTGATTTTGTCATCGCACGAGTTCAGCTGCATCCCTAGTTTTCAAAGCGACCATGAGTTGAATAGGTAGTAGTTTTGATTAAAAACTCATTCACCAAGGTAAATGTATTATTCAGAGTAAGAAGAAGACACCCTTCTTGGAAGACTTGGAACAGTAACAAACAAACTTGCTTTACCCCCAACTGTATTTGAGTGGAGAAAAAATAGACAGATCTCTAAAACTGCTCAAATAAAACCAAAACTACCTGCATGGCTAGATACCATTAGGTGGAAGAGAGAAAATATTTAATTTAGTCATTTAGGTGAACTTACCCTTTAAATTGAACTTTCCAAATATATAAAATTTGTAAGATTTACATCAGAAGAGTAAGTACATCAAGAATATTTGTTAAAAAGGCATTAAAACGTGCCACTTTGGGTTTGAATTACACACGTTCACTCAATTTAAGCCTCATATAGCTCCAATGTGATAATGTCAGACTGCGTGGAAAATATCTGTGAAAACATTTAAGGGGTAAATCTAGAGTTAACCATCTATAAACCAAATCCCAACCGTTTGATTGGTGACTCGGGACCCCTAAAACCTCGTGTTTACCCACCGTTTGATATGACTGAAACATTTCTCTGCTATCAGTCCAGTTTTCCACAGGAAGGGAAAAGTATCAGCTAATGGGGAGTTTTCCTTTAAAGTTTGTTTCTTTTTGGACTTCTGCTGCAAAGCCTCATTCCCTGACTTCACATCTCTGTCCAAAGCTTTGTGTCTGCAGCTTCCTGCCAGTAAACTACTGCATTAGATAGACTGACAGCTTGTATTTTTTATTTAGTCAGTTATTCTTACTGATAACAAAGGAAATGGGAGTTAAAGCACAATTCTGCCACTTAAAGACAGTCAATAGACTAGATATTGTAATATCAGATGTAAAAGCTAAACTGTAACTATTTACATAGAGAATCTCAACACTAACATGTGACATGCTAGAATGCAAAAGAAAACCATATGAATATTTGTGAAATCATCAGTTTATGAAAATGTTACAGTTTCTTTTCAGCGGTGCATTGATAAGGGGTTTTTATACAACATTCATTTTCTCTCCTTTTACCCCTTTTTCTCTGTTACTCGCAAAACTTTCAACAACAGTTTTCTTACCACATGGCATGGGTTTTGTTGGTATTTTTGCTGTATGTTTAAGGTCACGAGTTGCTACGTGATATTTTAATTTGACTTGTGAAGTTTGTACAATTTTTATCATGCTGGTGTTGGCATCTCTTGCTCTGAATAAATCTTGTGTTGCAACACTGTTTTACGACCTGTTCTTGTTGTTGAATTGAAAGTTAATAACGAACGTTCACTTGGGAATACATCTATTTTTAAAACATTACTGTCAAATGTATTTTTAAATTTTGCAGGGTAGCTGTTAATTTCAATTCTAGTTGCTGACAAATACCATATCAACATGTTTTTGACCAAATACCTCAATTTTGATGTCTATAGAATTTGTATTGATATATAATCTATTGCTGCTCTTTGTGATACCAGCAGAAAAGTCTGTTTTTGTTCAATAATTGTAAAGGGAAGGATGTTTAAAACATGTATTTAAATTTTTTTTTTTTAAAACTAAATATTTTTTAGATTGCCTTTGTAAGTAGCAGAGGTCAATCAGTAAATCAGAATTTAATTTAAATGTATAAACATGTAAATGGTAACAATAATTATAAAAAACCAAACAATGCAGCCACAAAACACAATGTGGCCACAAGAGGGCGCAAATTTGGCGCCAACGCTGTTTCCCTACATTGTTGTATTTCCGGGTCAAAAACACACCCCTTCCGGTCCGAGAAGCAACCGTAGAACACAACAACAAACCGGGTCGCTGTCTTGTGGCGGTCGTTTTCTGAATTCAGAGGCTTATTAACGGGGCTCCGGTGTACCGTTCGCCCCACCGGGGGGCTGGTTCGGTCCGGGCGGAGGAGTGACGGTTAGCATGGTGAAGTGTGTTGTCTCTGGGTGTCCGAACCGCGTGGCGACCGTTCACGTTAACCGGGGGATCTTCAGCCGACCACCGAAGAGGTTCTTCAACTTCCCCAAAGACCCGGCACGAGTTAAGGTACGGACGTGGTGTGTGTGTGTGTGTGTGTGTGTGTGTGTGTGTGTGTGTGTGTGTGTGTGTGTGTGTGTGTGTGTGTGTGTGTGTGTAGGGCAGCAAGATATGTCTCCTTCTCCTCGGATTGTTTTATTAATTTTGAGTCATTTAACTTAGAGCATTGGAATCTGTTTTATTTTATTAAAATAAATGATGTAATGATAAAATTGTAGGAGGACGTGCGTCTGGTTACGTGCTGTGACTCTCAAGTGTCTGATTTTGGACGGTCCTTAAATGCATCACCAAGGAGAGTTGTAAAAACAGTCCCTGCTTGTTGTAGCTGTGTCACCACTTGGGAGTAATGTGATGTTTTATAGTCTTTTAAATAAATAATAATGCAGCTTTGAGTGAGGAAGGGTAATAAAGTGTTACTGTGATGCATCGAGACTTGAATTGTGTTTGCCAGGTCCATAGAAATAATTTGAGATATGGATTCAGAAAAACATTGCTGTGGTGTTTTTGAAACTAGGGAAGATTCAAAGCTTTGAGTTCGGTGCTTTGTTGTGTCTTTAATCAGAAAGTCAGTAAGCAATAAACATCTGTAAACATCCAGTGTAGAAGAATGCAGCAGACTAACACTGATGACTCTGTTCAGGTATGGCTGGCCGCACTGAGGGAGACGGACACGCAGGACTCGACAGAGCAGCATTTAATTTGTGAAGACCACTTCCTTCCGGAGGACATCTCCACCAAGGGGGTCAACAGCGACGCCATTCCCATCATGCCCGCCTGCCTGGATGGGCCCTTGGGCATGATTAGCCCCTGGGGAGCCGAGTCATCTGAGGAAGAGGATCAGTGGGCCACAGGCGGCGGCGACGATGATGATGATGATGAGGATTTCGAAGGTGGAGATGATGGTCCTGTTTGTGTGGAGCCTCCTGCACCAGAACCTGCTGCAGTGGATCCACCACAGCAGGTCAGGATATTACCATTATATTTTCTTTTGTGACTCACATTATATTAAACTTCTCTGTATGTCTTTATTCATATGTACCACAAAGGAGGTTCCACTCAAGTTTCTTGTCACTTCATATTGATTACGTGTTGATACTGATGTTGTTATTCTCCTGTCAGTCTAATCAGTTGAATATCAGTGTAGCAGAAAGAAATGTGGAACTGTAAAACATCCAACATTAACTGCAACTTAAGTGTTATCACTCAGAAATATGACAAAGCGCTACAACATGATATGCAAAACCACGGCCACATTGCCCGTTTACAATTGCATTTTATTTCCAAGAATATATGGATGCAAATTTTCTTCTAGTAAAAATATTTTATTATAATATTCTAATATTGAAGTTGAGTTGTTCAAATGCAACCAAAAGTGATTCACAGATTATGTAAGTTGGAGACATAAATGAGTAGAAAAGGTTTGAAAGGTTGTCAAAAGAAGATCTCTCTGTAATGATTCTACAAAGCACATAACACGTAATAACCCAAACACGTCAGACATTATCAAAATGTTTGACAACATGCCTGTGACCAATTATTTAAATGACAGCTTTAACCTGCTCTGTTTGGACTTTCTGAATTCCAGGATCCAGGAGCCAAGAAGACCTCAGAGTCCAGGACAACTGGGTAAAAAAAACTCCTGTTTTCACACTGTGTATTTTAACAGAAATTACAAATTTAACTTAAAGTTGACTAACATTTTATTGTCTCTTTCTTTCCAGCATCATCTTCCATCAGATGAAAGAGATGGTTCAGACCAAGAAAGTCACCAGACAGGGTGAGTTCTCCTGTCGTTCATCAGTTAGCACAAACCGCAGTGGCAGATAGTTTGGACACTTCATGTGAATTAGCAGCAGTGGGAGCTGTTGCATATTTGTATCAATATTTGAGAGTAAAAAGAAAAAAGACAAAAAAGTTTGAATTGGAAGACGGGAGACCGTTTGGTTTTCGTTAATTCCTGTTTAAAAACCACACAGATAAGCAAACCATAAACAGTAAAGGTTTATAAAGCGCTTACTTTGGCCATCGTGTTGTATTCAGATGTTTCCCTGGGGATGCTGACGCAGCGTTTCCTCAAGCTGATGCTGGCGGCTCCAGACAGCACAGTGGACATCCAGCAGGCGATGAGCCGCCTGCAAATCCGCAGGCGACGAGTCTATGACATCACCAACGTCCTGGAAGGCATCAGCCTCGTCGAGAAGCAGTCGACCAGCAGATACAAGTGGATGTGAGTGAACAGATGAGAAGATATTCTTTGTGCATCTATTCTTTTATGTTTGTGTGTTTTATGATCTCATTTATACCTGCTTTTTTGTTGTCCATCCAGAGGAAGGAGTCAGATCTCCAACTTTCTGTGGAGGAACGAGCAGAAGTTCCAGAGAGAGTTGGACAACCTGAAGCTGGTGGAGGACACGCTGGACGGCCTCATCAAAAGCTGCGCTCAGCAGCTCTTCGACATGACCGATGACTTGGAAAACGCTGCATATCCTTTCACATCAGACTTAGAGGAGCAGTAGCACTGCTGGTCATCTAGACCCTCCTGACTTTTAGAATGGATTTCCATTTATCCATCTATCATTTATTGCCCCTGAATCAAGGAGCTTCTCATAACCTGATTTTGTTAAGAGCCCATACAACCCACATAATGACTTTTAAACGTCAGTGTCTTTGCTTATCATTGCATTATTGCCTCCTGTCCCAGCACCAAACAGGAGACAGAACATAGTGGAGCATTGAGCTGCTAAAGTGCAAGATACTTTCCTCAGGAACTGGTGGAGACCAAAACAAAGCTTAAAGTCTAGTGAATATGCCCCCAAGTGGTCAAAACATCAGTTATTGCAGGTTTAAATGAGCAGAACCCCTAGATCCATTCTCAGCTCTTATTACATTCCTCCTATTGTCCAACAATATTAGACATTGTATTTTATACCTCAGATTAATATGGAACATTATGTACCAAGACAGACAAGAATGCAGGAATAACTCATCAGATTAATACAGTAGGCATGAAATAAGTTTTTCTTTAACCTTTCCTTCACGTTGGCCTACGTGACCTACGAGGACGTCAGCCGGCTCCCTGCCCTCCAGGAGCAGACGGTGTTTGTTGTCAAAGCTCCAGAGGAAACCAAATTGGAAGTTCCTGCACCCAAAGAGGTACACAACCAAAGACAGTATAAGAAGTAGGAAGGACATTATCTGAGTAGAGAATTTAAAACTTGATTCAAAAAGATAAATACACATTTCTTGCACTTTTCCAGAACATATCTGACAGTAATAAATACATTTTTGTCAGCTAAATATAGACATTGTTGATATTACAGATCGTATTACATGTAGATCTTCTCCTGTAGTAACACATTCAGGAGGTAGACGGAATAAAAGCGACATCATTTGGTTAACTCGTGTGTGTGTGTGTGTGTGTGTGTGCGTGTGTGCGTGCGTGTGTGTGTGTGTGTGTGTGTGTAAGCAGGACAGCATCCAGATCCATCTGAAGGGGGAGAAGGGTCCCATTATGGTGGTGACCTGTGATATCGGGACAGGAAACGCGACTGGAGAGAAGAACAGCTGCTTCTTAACGCTGGAGGAAAGCCGAATAAAGACAGCCACACTGCACACAGGTATAAAGAAAACTTACAAGGCGTCAGATATTTATCGATCTTATTCATGTTGATATCCAGAGTGGTAGATTTTAAGTCTCACAAGACAAGTAAAATGAACCTCTTCAACAATTTAACAATCTTTTATCTGCTCAAATTATTGTCAATCATGTGTAATTATAACAAGATCTGCAGATTAGGTTTAATGTAAATCAGGGCAACAAGGTAATGAGTGGGTCTCTAGCCTTGTTTCCAACAAGGTGGGATTCTTATTAGGTGATTGGCATAGTGATGCTGACATCATGTTCAACGTGTGGCACAAACACAGGAACACTGCATATATGGATATGAATCTCGCTATGTTGCTGTTTGACACAGCAAGGAGACAAAGCTGAGAAAAGGCTGAAGGCAGCAAGACAAAAGACTCGTACATCAGAGCGCGGGCGATGAAACGACTTTGGTTTCTCCGTGTCTCGTTAGTGACGTTTCTCCCTGTCTGATCAGTGGACAGCGGTATTTTCACTCCACCTTTTAGTATCATCTCAGCTCGCTTGGAAACTTGACTGGGGCGAAAATCTTTGCCAATGGGGGAAAAAAAGAAGATCTTTCAAGTGAGACGAGTGGAGCCACACCGTGCAGTGGAAACGATGAACCATGAAGTCACTGTGCGCTGATTAAACAAACACGATATACTGCGGCCTGCTTTGGGATCCTACCTGCAGTTTCTGCGCTCTACCCTTCTAACCTCACTCAACAAATCTGTTTGAGATGGCACTATCCAGGGGAAAGAGGATGGAACTGGCATTGAAAAGACAATACCCAGAGTATGGTAAGTAACAATGACATTAAGCATTGAGAAACTAGCAATCACAATATAAAATACCTGTCAGCCTCGCTGTTTTTCTGACTTACAGGCAATGTTTAGTTAGCTAGTGTTAGCTGCCTGAAAGCTGTAACTTTATCCTCTGTAACGTAACGTCATTGTCAATGCCGTGTCATCTATGTTTTGTTGTTCACCTGGCAATGTTAGTGCAGCCAGCGATGGGAGGAAAATAAAAAATAAAGGCATGATGTATCAAGTTATCCCACAACGATCTAACAGCCATGTGAGTGGTCTCTCTCTTTGTCTGATAGCATCAACATTATCTTCAGTTTCTTCCTCATCATTGTCCGACGAGAAGATATTGTCCATATCCAGGCGGTTATAGTTGGCAAAAACGAAACCAAAAACTACTTGTAAAAAAACATTTTACCAGATAAATCAGAAATTCATGTGAATCATACAGCTCTGTAAAAGAATATGAGCTGAGCCTGAGTGCTGAAGTGCGTGAGAGTTTATATTTTCTCTTTCCTTGTATCCACAACAATGCCGATTTTTAAAGGACAGACAACTTGTCTGTTGTATTTTACAAGACTAAGTGAGCATGCACACTTATGTTCATTTGCTGTGCTGTTAGCTGCCATCGAGCAACACAACTGTGCTGCTAGGGAATAATGTATTTCTGTTTACATTTTGTTTGGCTGTTTGTGTGACTGAAGAGAGATGTGTCATCACTTTGATTTTGCACCAACCCACATCCTCCTCCTCAATACCAGTCTTCTTCAGCTGAAGAAGGAATCCGACAGGGATTAATTAGCGAGGTTTGGGTTTGGCTGTTTAGATACTAAGATAAGAGAGGAGAGAAAATGTTCCTTTATTGATCCCAGTGGGAGAAATAGAGGTTTGACTATTCAGTGCCTTTTGTTGAACCATGTTCAACTTTCGAAGTCGATGCACTTGTCACTTTTTGTGAACTGACCAATCAACCTGGAGGGCAAAACAATGTTTTGTTTGTATTGTAATACCTGTTTCTGAAATGTTGCCCTTGACAAATACTCCCCATATTATAATAAAAAAATAAATGTTGATAATGAAACAAAATGCCCCTGTGTCAAGTGTAACAGGATGTGCCAGGGTAGAATAACCAGTGAAGGCTGGCTGTGTTTGCAGAGTCTCTGAACACCATCTAGTGGTACCTTTCAGCAGTGTAGGGAATCCTGATACAGGCTGTTATTAGATACATTGGATGGTTTCCGGAAAATTAAGCTTTCACGGAGGAGCTGGGAAATAACACCCTTACAAACAAATGATCTGAATACCGGTCAGTTTGCAGCTAACTCATAAACAGTGCCCTGACTAAAGAGGAAGATGAATACAAATTGTTTGCCATAACATATTGTTTGCTTAAATTACTATCTTAACAACACAATGTCCTGTTTGTTTGGGCACTAAAACATGACTCAGAAATATTATTTTCTTTTCTTCAATTTATTTGTAAGTGTATTTATTATTGCTGGCCTACTCATACATTAGTTTGGCCATAGGCCTAATTGTTCTTGCGTATAAAAATAAATGTAATTAATATTGATCAGTGGAGATGTTGCCCTGTAGGTTCTTTTGATGAACATCATAATAATAATAATAATAATGATAATGATGATGATGATGATGATGATACTGATACTCTTTTATTTCTTCTTTTGTTGCAGTACAGAAAGCTCCTCCAGCCAGCCAGACGATGGATGAACTGTCTGCATCCCTTAAAGCTGAATTTAAGCCTGGAGATGTACCTGATTCATCTGAGTTCAGTGAAGACCAGGAGAGTGGAGATACGTCTGAGTTCAGTGAAGACCAGGAGGGCTGGGATACCTTTGACAGGGACACCCATCCCCATAAACCTAAGGAGAAACCAGGTCAGCAGACCCGAAAAAAACACAAGCAGAAGAAACCATGTCGCCAAACATGTCGGAAGAAATGCTGGAACAAAATAACAGAAAAAATGAGGAAAGCGGAGCACACAACGTACAAGAAAATGACCACCCAAAGGAAGGTAACATTCATTCTCAACAGGGTCTTTCAACGCAAGATTGCACGTTTGACATCTGTTGTTCCCAGCAGACGTAAAAAGTCAATATCTTACCATCTTAGAGATGACCTGGGTGAATTACAAGAGGTATGCAAGACCTTCTTTCTCACAACTCTGGGATACCATCCAAAAAATGACAGGTTCATCCTAGCAGTCATCAGGAACAGCTCCCCATCAGGCTCGACATCCCCCAAAGAACACCATGGAAGACCTGCCCCAGCCAGTAAAGCCAGTTTCTCCCTAAGTTACAAACACAACGAATCATTAAATCCGACAGTTAGCCATTATAGATGAGAACACGCCCCCAGTCTAAGATACCTCCTGAGTAGGGTGACCAGTTGTCCCAAATCCAGAATCCTATCCTTTTTTTTTGTCCTGGAAATGAAGCGTTAATAGTAACAGAGCAAACTAAAACGAGAGCTGTCTGTGTTCTGGGAGACTGGAGCTGACTTGGTGACGTTGTAATATTGGAACATGCTGCACTGAACATATTGGTTTATGTGTATTTTGGAGTGCTGCTAAACATAACAGAGATACATTCAACAAGCTGCTGCTGTCACCACAATAAAGACTCTAAATTCAACTCAAACTCCCCTGTCTCATATTTCACCCATTCTCATCTGGTCACTCTACTCCTGAGTGATGTAAATGTGCAGCTGATGCAGAAGGAGTTTACTGCAAACCACCAGTGCTCATACGGAGCAGTAAAGAACAGCAACACCAGCTTCAAAGAGTCCTGAAGGCTGAAGTATTTGCTTCACCTGGCAGAGATCAAATTCAGGAGAGGATCATGGACCATGTGGGTGAAACTATCCCAGGATCAGGAGTAATTCACACCTCTGGACTATCTCATGAAGACCACTCTTGACAGCTCTGAGCAACTCAGGCCTGCAGTGAATGTGGTTGGGAGGCAGAAGAAGGCAGACATCCGGACAAAAACTGCCCACTGATGCTACGAAACAGCAGGAAGTCTTGTCGGAAGAGCTGCAGATGAAGAGTGAGCTGAACGTCAGTCAAATAATCGGACATAAAATTGGACTCTATATATTTACTTTTTAAAATAAATTATTCTGCTTTTCATTAAAGTAAAAATTATTGCACAAATCCATAAGTTGAGTTCTTAAATACTGTTAAATACAATTATAACAAAATCAGTGTCAAAATACTTTTTGTTAAATGAAAACAACATCGTAGTTGCTGCACTTTGTTTTTGCTTTAGAACCATTAAAGACAATACAAAGGCAGTTACTAAATTTTTGGGGTCAAATCAGCTGTCATGGTTTTTGAGCATAAATATTACCATACGAGTACATGTACAATTATAACATGTATATCTATAACTCATTTTGCTGGTTATTTAAAACGTTACACTTTTAAAACACTTGAAAGACATTTTTCTCAGTTTGACCTTCACGTAGTTACTGCAGTCAGTCTTTGTAGGGAAGTGTAGCTACAAAGTGTTTCCTGTCTACCTTTTTATAGCCTAGATATTCATATTTCATATTTTCTATTATTAAAAGAAGAAAAATAATCAAATACAAGTTAGAACATTTTATTTGTAAAGTATATCTATCTTCTATCTATAAAGCAAGAAATCTTTGTCTGTCAGTGTGTGTGTGTCTCTCAAATATCTCTGCAGATCAGGATCAGACTGACCTGAGAGTTTCAACATGGCTGCTGTGTGGTTTAAGGGTGTGCAACGTCAGCTTTGTTTGGACTAAAGATACCGTTAATAAATTATTTCATAAATTATTTAGAATTCCGCTAGCATTGGCAACGACAGCCACCATAGCCACCTGCGCACCAGAGCCAATCACTGAGATCCTGACCCACCAAACATCCTGGGAAGTGACGAAGTTACGTTTTTCCCTCTAAATTACATAATTATACATAATCATCAGCAGTAAACTGGACGCTGTCTGACTCCCTCACTCGCAAGACGGAGAATGTTTTAACACTCCGTGAGTTTTTCGCCGGTGACAGACGCTGCTTTTCGGGCAGACAGGAGGACAGACGCTTCTCCACGTACAGCTGTGGTATCCTGCGTCCCTGATACTACCTCCAGAGGAGGATCAGGGACGGAGCGACATCTCCCCCCTCGCCACATCTGAAACTTTCACACAGTGGAGGGTGCGGAGAATTGGCGCTGGATCCCCGAATCTCTCTCTCTCTCTCTCTCAATTCAAATTCAAATTCAATTCTAAATGGGCTTCATTGGCATGAAAGTTTTTTAAAAACAATATTGCCAAAGCAGAGTATTCAAAAACAATACAATATATCAAAGATATATACGTTATTATATGAACATTATATTAGTTATATACAGTGTGTGTGTGTGTGTCTGTATGTGTCTCTCTCTCTCTCTCTCCTCTCTCTCTCTCTGATGTATGCTGGCCTATATTAGAGGACTAAATAATATGTCCTAAATGTCCCTGACGTCCCACCTTCAAACACAACCTCATTTGGCCATCCATGAAAAAGCTACTTAACCTCCCACTTTTCTATAGCAATACTTCCTAGGGTAGTGCCCTAGTAATTCAAAATATTAAAAGAAATAGGCCTTTCCATATGGACTTTTTATATAAACTATCCATAGAATTATTGGAAATGTGCTACATTGTGATTCTCTGGATATGAACTTAACTATATTGGGATATGATTTTTTGCTCATATTGCACACATGTACTGACTAGCATGGGAAACCTTCAGTTCTCTGGTTGACAAACTGGCTTTGCTAGTTTACACTGAACCAAACAACACTGGCATAATACTGCCACCGTGTTTGATTTTAGATAACCTGTTTGTATGCTGGAAGCAATTGAGGTGTGATAACAGTGCGCGTCCCAGCATCCCAGCAGATGTTTATCTGATTTGGTTACCACCTCCACAGTTATCTTATCGGAGGAACAACAATGCCGCCGAATTCTGTGTCCATTAGTTATATAAGAAATAGGGACGCCTGGTTAGCTCTCCTTTGTTGCGTGTCATCCCCTCTCTCTACCCCTCCTGTCAATATCCATTAAAAAAAGGCCAAAAAAATAAGAAATGGCGAGGCAGAGTAATGGTACAACATTCCCAACGGAAACAGGCTGTATAAATGTGTATAAATGGAGATACTGTATCTAAATAACCTCAAACATATTTCTGTAGTTACACTCTGCAATCTCTTGTCTCTTATTGGCTGACAGTAACACCAATACATCTTGTGATCAGTTGATATGTGTTGTTTTTTATTAATGTTAATTGTTTTATGTCATTGTGGTGCTGTTGTCGTTGCAGAGTCCTCGAGTCCACAGAGCGCTGTGCAGAGCGCGTAGCCACCAGCTGACCACCAGCTGACCACCGGTTGACGCCAGCTCCAGATACAAGCCTGGAAAAACTACTGAACACTAAATATGTCGTCTACGGGTAGCAGAAGGGTCAGATGCAGAGATTTCAACTGACTGAGCTCATATGTGACACCTTATTCAAGTACTCGGCTGATATATGTTTAAATCAGCTGAAACATTTACTAAAATCAACAAATCCAAACTGATGAGAAGCAAACAAAGATGTTTTGATAAGAGAATCAACATGATAAACACTTTTATGGATCAATTTAATTTGTGGCTTTGCAAATGTTTTTTTTATTTAATTTTTATTTTTTGAAAAGCAAAGTTTTAATTAACCTGGTGTTGGTTCTGTTCAGCCTGGTCGGTCTGCTGAGCTCTCCGGAGAGAAATCATGTAAACGATGAAGATGAGGATGTAATTTTCTTTTCTATGAGGGATGACAGAGAGGAGTGAATGAGCTCATTTGCAGATGCAGTACACACTGTGCCTCGGTGCTGCAGAGAGCTGCAGTGCTCCTGGAGGCTTTGTGTTATACATTAGGATCATGTCCTGACATACAGTACATTGGCTGTATCATATTTGACTTCTTTATATATTGTGTTGGTTTTGGACATCTTGGTTTGAACTTTATATGTGGAAAACATCTCAAAGATTCTGTGATAAATAAATAAAATTAACTCCTATGAAGTTAGTGTTTGTTTGAATCCCTGAAGCAGCAGCAGGGGAATAATGGAAAATTAAAATCTATGACCATTAACCTCTCTAAATAATACTTTTATAGGTAATTAAAAAATATATTATTATTAGTAGTATGCACATCAAGAAAACCTACAGGCCAAAATCTTAACTACATTCTATTTTATAGGTAAAAATATAAAAATTGCAACTATAATAAACTGAAGAAAAAAAAACATATTTCTGAGTCATGTTTTAGTGCCCAAACAAACAGGACATTGTGTTGTTAATATAATAATTTAAAGGCACACTATGCAAGATTTTTACCTTAATATAACAGCTTCGAAGTCATTTTGATTGTAAACAAACTCGTAGTATAGCAGGAGAGGGACGCCGTTGGCAGAACCAGCAATGCAAGTCTGAAAGGTGGCGCCCGCAGCGACTTTAGGGGTAACTGTTTGACAAAACCAGAAAACTGCATGGTGTGCCTGTAAGCAAACAAATAGGCCTATGTTATGGCAAGCAATTTGTATTCATCTTCATCTTCAGTCAGGGCACTGTTTATGAGTTAGCTGCAAACTGACCAGTATTCAGATCATTTGTTTGTAATGGTGTTATTTCCCAGTTTCTCCATGAAACCATCCAATGTATCTAATAACAGCCTGTATTATGATGCCCTACACTGCTGAAAGGTACCACTTGATGGTGTTCAGAGACTCTGCAAACACAGCCAGCCTTCACTGGTTACACTTATTCAAGATGGGGGCAGTTTGAAGGCAGAGTGCAGTAACTCACTTTTTGGGGTGTTTGAGTATAAATATTACCATTTGAATAGATGTACAATTATTACATAAAGCTTTTGGCAGGTCATTTAAAACTTTACACCTATTTAAAACACTTTTTCTTTCGGTTGTCTCTGGTGGACAAACTGGCTTTGCTAGTTTTCAGTGAAACGCAATAAAACTGGAATAACACCAGATGTTTGGTTTGTAGAAAACATGTAGACGTGCTGGATGCAATCGAGGCGTGACATGTGACAACAGTGCCATTGTCCTGCCTTCCCCATTTTTCAATGCTGTTGAGCCGACTTAGTGACCAACTCCACAGTTAGCTTAATGGCGGAAGAACAATGCTGCCCCATTCTGTATAATATTTTACTTCTTCGTTTATTTTTTGTTTATTTTGGACATCTTGGTTTGAACTTTATAATGGGGAAAACACCTCAAAGAGTCTGTAATAAATAAATAAAAAGAACTCCTATGAAGTTAGTGCTTGTTTGAATCTCTGAAGCAGCAGCAGGCGGATAAAAAACATTCTGTTCCCCTAGCATAATACTGCCCCAGTAGATAACATGTTTGTCATCTCTGGGTACCAGAAGGGTCAGATGTTTGTGGCAGAGATTTTAACTGACTGAGCTCACATGTGATACAATATGTAAGTACTCAGCTGTTATATGTTTAAATCAGCTGAAACATTCACCAAAATCATCAAATCCAAACTGATCAGGGGCAAACAAAGATGTTTTGATAAAGGAATCAACATGAAAACCAAGCCTTAAGGTTCCTTGTTTGAATCCCTGAATCAGCAGAGGAATAATGGAACAGTCTGAATGGTTTGATGAAGTGTGTACAGAGATAATCTGGCACCTTTAACCTCTCTGTGGCTCAACTTGCCAACATTTCCAATGTTTAAAACAAAAGTTTGACCTCACGTTGTGTGGATCATGTTTAAATGCCTACTCTGGAACTTTTGTCTGTCTTTAAAGTTTTTGAAACAGGTTTGATTTTGTTCGTTTTTTCGCACAAGGCATGAGAAAAGCACACAGACAGAGAGGGGGGACAGCTCAGCTTCTTGTAGCCGCGGTGCAGAGTGCACTATGCGGGCAGAGAGTGGAGACAGCCTGCAGAGGAACCTCCAGTGGAAAGAAGCAAGGAAGGGAAGAAAGAGAGAGACAGCTCCTGTATCAGCAGGAGAACTTCTCCTTCTTCTAGACACCTTTGATCCAGTTACTTATTCACTTTCGATTGGAAAAGTAACTTTGGGTTGCGGGGACCACAAAATCCTCATTGCGTGACAACTCTGTCTCTAAAACGCTCTGGAAACCCATATGGAAAATATGGAGTTTATGTGCAAAGGCTTCTTTGAAAATGTACTTCCTGATTTCAGTTAGCACAACATCAGAATTTGCTGTAATTTAACAAACTGTATTTACTAGGACTGATTGTAAATGTATTTGATATATGTTGTTTAAATGGGGACTTTCGATGCAGGCGTCTTCCTCAAAAAAACAGAATACCTGACTGATGTAAGATAACAAATAAGAGGGCGGTATCAGGGTGTAATCTCATTTGTCAAACCTGTTATGGTTGTCCTATTCTGTGTTCAGTGTGAACATTATGCATAACTCTGTAGAAGTTCAAACAGTAAACTAAAGGTTTGTTTTGTACTGTCGAAATGATCGACTGATGGATCCGGTTCATCATCACTGACGGAGCTGCACTTTCTTCCTGTATAAGGTCAGTCAGACATCTTCAGTTTTTAATCTTTTATAAATTCAGTTATCAGACAAACTGAAACAAACAGCCACCATATCGGTGGTCTGGTAAGTAAGTCATGGTTAATAAGGAATATTTTACCGACTGAATAATATGATAAATGTTAAAAAAGTTAATCATTAGTTTGCAAAATTATGGAAAACAGACATTCATAAAAATCCAACTCTTAAAACAGAAACGAAAAATTAAAGAACTACTATACTTTCGTTTTTAGTACAGGTGAACATCATTATGCAAATAGTTTCCCAATGTGGCGTCGCGGGAGTGGCAGCTATAGTTACTGTGTATTTTATTATCTATTGTGCTGTTTTGTATCTTGAGCTTTTGTACCGAGCGATCTCCCCCTGTGTGTGTGGGGTCAGTAAAGTCTATCTTATCTTAGTTTTGACATGAAATGAGTCAACAGGTGAGAATCTTACATTTTATCAACAGGATTGATTATATTGTGTTGTGTATATTCACAAAACAAGTGAGGGAAAATATGAATATAATATAAATATAGTCTACAGCCTTCATACAGAAAATAGTAATAATATAATATTTAGCTGTAGGTCTACTTTAACTTCCTGGTAATCTCAGAGGCAATAGTGTTGTGCTGTTGAATTGTATTATTCAGAGATGTGTTTCTTATATTTAGCCAACCCTCAATGATATAAATGGATTAGACCAGTGGTTCTCAACCGGTGGGACACTCTCCCGGAGGGGCGCGAGTAGGCTACAGGATGGGAGGAAAAAAAATCTGATGTTACTGGAGACTTTTGTGGTGTTTGGAGCCTGACGTGAAAGGACGTATCACTCTGCAGTTACTGTGCTCAACGAGCAGCGGGTGCTGCCGTGAGCCCCTCCCCGGTCCAAAGCACTCACAGGCGGTCAGTCTCTGTAACCTCGCGCAGCAGCCTGCAGTCAGAGCAGAGAGGAGACACACACCACTCCGCGTCCAGGCTGCAAATGAATCGCGCATGCGCATGGCCGCCCCGTTCCCGCCCTGGGCGGGGTTTAAATGTAAATGTTTCTTCACTCTCACACAAAAAATACAACACTGCGCGTAACTCCATTCACTCTTGGCTAGTCTCTTGCCAAGTTCGCTTGTGCCAGCTCTCGCTACTCTATCTACTATTAATCTCGATATCATTTTCATATACTCCAAAACCCAAACAGTCTTTTTAAAGATTATCCCCATCTCAGTTATTTTTATGTTTTTATGTTTATTTTTTAACTGCTAGGCAGTGCACTTAGCTAACTACCCCTCTGCCTTTTTCACCGTGTTGCAACACACACACACACACACACACACACACACATACTGGTTTTTGTTAATTAGGAGGACTATTTTTTCAAACCAGTTTTTTGCGTAACCCCTTTCCACTTGTGCTAGAAAGATGTAGTAAATCTTAAAAAAATCCTATTTGAGCTATACAACACAAATCTCACTTCAAAATTTAAATAAACACATCAGAACTCAAAATACAAGAACCTGACACCATGCTGTATTAAGAGGACAAACGATAATGAGGTACTTAGCTCCGCCCATGACACAAATAGTAATTAACAGGGCCAACTTTATTTGTCAGGACTATGGCCATACACATACACAAACATGTAAGCGCCGTGTATTAAAGGGTCAAACATGGATAAATGGAACCTTAAACAGACACAAGTGGACTGTGTGATACAGTGCCTTCACTTAAGTATTAGAGCAACAGAATCCATACTATTTGTGAACAGAAATGAAAATGAATGGCAAAATGAAATTATGCATGTCGACACGTGTCTGGCTTGAGAAAAGAGAATAAAACTAACGTGTCTTCTCGAAGAACTCGAGGGACAAACACCTATCTTTGTCCTTGCAGAGAGCAACACAAACACTACATTCAAGTAGTGCAAGAGGGTCAGTAGCTTAAACCCCACCCCTTTAAAACTCAATGTCACAACCGCGACTCCGGAACTGTTATGCCAGCTGACAGATTACACATAAACAAGTTACCTACAGTATCTTCTCACAGTAGAAATAAAACTAAATCATTTTGTATAAATACACCATAAAATATATACTGTATAGCTCTCCTCTCCTCCACAAACTGAAATATTTAAATTGTCCACCAGTGATGTCATCAGGACACATGGAATATTCAGGATTAGAACATGAGTAATCTCTGTGTTCTGATGACATCACTGGTGGACAATTCATCACATTTCCATATTTTAGCCAGGATTTTCTTTTCTTTTCAAAGTCACACCACGATTTCTTACAAAGTCTCTTATGTTTAGAATAGAGCGACCAGCTAGAGCAGGATCTTCTGCCTCCTTGCATTGCTGGCATTCAATCATAGTGGCCAGTTTTCCTTTTTTGATGTGTTCGCCAAAATGTCTCATGACCGCTGCAACCTCCATGGGAGACCATTGATGCTTTTTTGCTCTCCTAGCACTTTCCAGAGAAACTAGAAAAAAGACAAAGAAATTATCAATGAAAACAAACTCTACCTTTAAATAAACATTTTTAAAGTAATGAAATTTCTGTTGGGTAAATTATGTATTTGTTGTAACAATGTTTCTTAGCTATAAATCATGTACTGATCTAACGCCCGTTTATCCCCCTTTTAAAATGTGCATGCATAAAGAACATGCATTAGTGGGACGCAGTGGCTGCAGAATTGGGTATGTGGGTTGAAGATTGATTTCTGCCAATGCCAAAGAGCTTATTCTGACTCTTGCTTGGTAAGTTTGGTTGATTAGAGGTGGAGTGGAGGCCCAGTGGTTGAGAACCCCTGTTTACTAAATCAAACTTAATAGCCGAATTCGAAAATATATTCTCATTGCTTTGTTTATTACAGTTTTTTTGATGCTTTGCTAATTTGAAAACGCTAACTATGTGAATGCATTACTAAACAGATTATAATAGGCATAGAGAAAGTAGTTAAAACATTTGTCTCATCACTGATAACTAAATTACACCTATTTTCTAGCATCTGAACACTGATAGTTTAAAAAATACTCATTTTAATACAAGGTACAGTTCTTCATGGTATGTACATGGTATTTTATCTAATTAAGTCAGTTGATATAATAACTGAGTTGTAGGATTACAGTGTCCTGCAGAAAGATGAGAATGGTCACCATATTGCCTTTGGGTGGTGTGGATAATTTCTTTTGACCATTCTTCAGTTATGCTTTCATGCTTAAGTAACTTTGTGTTTAGTGACTTTTGTGTATGTGTAGCAGCATTTACCAGATTGTTTATTCTTTTTCTTTTTTCTGCTGGGCTCTTTGTTCTTCTTTAATTTACTGCTGGGCCCTTTTTCCTTCTTTTTGTTTTCTGCCGGGTTCTTTGCCCTTACCATCTGCGTTTTCACTTTCTGCTGAAAAGAATGAAAAGATTAAAAAAAACAAAAAACAACAATTGTAACTATAAGCATTTATTTTATGTAGGTAGGTTTCTCAAATACTGTGAAGTAGAAGATGCTCCTTTATGGGGTCAAGCAACTAATGGACCCTTTAAATCATGAATTTAGTCTTTGTTAGGTGAAATCAATTAGCATACTACACCCTTCGCCATCTTTGCATGTGACTTCATATCAGCCCACCTGTAAAATGCAAACCAAGTCAATTGCTATCTGGGACCTAAGTCGATAAGGCCCTTACTGTTTTCTTGTATTTCAGACACAAATTAACATCCCCTCAATTTGTGTCTGAAATACAAGAAAACAGTAAGAGATTACACAGTTACTGACTTGACAGTGAAATTACAATTGGTTAGGGATACATCATAGCAAGTAGTTACACTGTTAAAAGTCTAACCATCTGGTGACAATAAATACGTGCCTGCAGCTTCCTCAACAGGTTTCGTCGTTCTTTTCATCTCTGCAGAATCTGTAATAAAGTTTAACATTAGTCATGTGATTTCATAAATAAAACAAATTCAAGAAAAATCACACTGTACTTACCAGTCTGTGGATATGTGAGATTTCCTTCATCGACCTCTCTCTCAGCATCGACCTCACTCTCTGCATCGACCTCACTCTCTGCATCGACCTCACTCTCTGCATCTGAATCGGTAAACTGTAGGTTATCTAAGAAAATAAATTATATTACCTTGATGAATAATGAGATTCAAGTGCTATAGATTGCCTACATACAATGTGTGTTCCATTTTGCTAAAACACATTTGCTAGAAACAGTTCTAATTTTTAACTTAAACAATTTAAAATGGCATTACCTTCGATTTCAATCTCCTCAAGTGTTTTGCCTTGAAGGCTTCTGAGAGACCCTTTCTCCATGGCAAGCAGTAGTTTGGAGATTTTGGCCAGCTGGGTAGTAGCCTCTGGAAGTCGGTAATACTCCAGATGAACGCGAATATCGTGGCCAAGGAAGTCAGCAACCTAGTCTAACTCATGATTCTTGAGGTTCAAGATCTGTGACAAAGTTGCGAGATGTTTGCGTAATTGCGTCGACCTGAGGAGCTCAGGGTTTTCCGCCCCACATTCACTCGCATAGAGCCTCAAACAGTCCTGTCCTCTGTAGGGAGTCAGACAGTGAGGTCTGGCAAACAGGAACAGGTTTTCTGCCAGAACACCACAGTCTTTTCTTTTCTCTATTAGGCATGTTATGGCCTTCACCATGTCTGGTGAAAGTAACACTGCAACTTTCCGGCCTCTTTTACCCCTTAATTCAACACGACTGAAGTGTTGACAAAGGTGAAGTTCAAATTGTGTCAGTCCAAATGCGACATCCTTGTGCAGGGCACTTGTGTCTCTCTCCAGAAAGCCATTCAGCGTCATCTTTGAAATTTCTCCCCCCTTCTCCTGTTAAAAAGTATTACATTTGCCATGGTGGCTTTACAAAGTTCACTATATGATTTTGGTGAACTGTGGTCTTCCAAGTCCTTCAATGCTTGTTCTGTAGTCTTCTCCAGATGTCTATGAAGACGCTGAACATCTTCCATAAAAGGAAGAGTGGAAGGCTTG